AGGAACAGTAACACTAAGTAGGAACCGTCCGTTGTGCATCCACTGAGGCACATGTGTTCTCCCCTATGTAGCATATCCTTACGACGTGACGCCTGTGGGTTATTCCCTAACTTCGTGCATTAAAACAATGATATCTTTGCTCAATGTCTGGATTATATGGCAATTCTACCCTTAATTTAATTAAAAGCGAGAAAACCCTGTCATTATTCATGAGACATATCTGCTAAAAGCAGAGTCGATTGTACGATTCATAATCATAATCATAATCATTTGTTTATGAATCACTGGCAAACAGTAATGATACCAAGTGTAAGCGTATGCTGCCCCACGGATGGAATCTGTTACAAACACATGCAAAGGCAAGTCAATTGCTCACCTGTCAAAACACGGGAACATATGGTACAAGTAAAATAAGGGAATTGCATCGGACAACATTCTTGTCACATATGCCTTAACTTTAAAAAAAGTCCTCTTAATGTCTACCATAAACCTTTTTGAAAGCTGTACTTGAATGTTGTAAACGTGATCAAAGAACTCAACTAATTCTATTAAGACATATAAACAACACTTTTACACAGGATTGCTCATGTAGCCCAGTCGTTGTGTCCCACCCTTCCAGAATTCAGTGATCGTGGGTTCCCAAATTTGCCATTACTACGATTCTGGTTTGTCAGCACCATGCCTGTTTTTTTTTTTATCAAAGTGGTACACGCCTAAGACAGGCAGTCATTTTGTAATAATTTTTTAATTTGAAGTTTACGCGATATACGGCATTTCCATTAGACGAGAGGTCGGTCAGATGACCGCGAAATTGACGTTCATAAGTGTATGAACGACACAATTTGACATTCATACGTTTTTCACGAGACCGTGTTCTTGAAATGGCGTAAACACTGACGGACTACTTCCACATTCCTGGGGCAACCCCTGGGAATTCCCTAGCACAAAAACATACATAAGCGTTCTTTCTGATCATTTAGGTCCTTTAGTCTTGGTCTCAGCGTTTCAGTATACATTGAGAAATGTCAGAGAGCGTGACTTCATGATTGTTCACGAATATCCTCGCTACGGCCTATCCTAATGAACAAACGAAGAAATGCACATCTAAACTATCGTAGTATCGACTCGATTCGTGTCTTGGCTGACACTGACCGTCTCCAGCAATCTACGAATTTACCTTAGTGTTTGTTTGACGCATCTTTATTCACCTTTCCATGATCGGCCAGTTGATCAATGATGACTAACACATGTAACCGCCACATGTTCATTAACAACTTCGGAAATCTCTCCCGTCACGTTTATCGTGTCGGCCATTTTGACGTCTTGTACTTGATGTAAATGTATTACGACGCGCTGTCATTGTGACTGACTTACTGAGGTAGTTCTCTACAGACCTTTCTCATTTAATGAGGATATGATTTGAACACATGTGCTGCTTAAGATGTTTCTGAAGAGCAAGTTGTGCATCCATACGCCCATGTCACCTCTTTTTTTGAGGAACTATTTTACTCCGCGATGTAGCTGGTTGTTGCATGGTTGTCAGTGTAAACATGAAGTCACACGTACTAAATGAAATTGTGTTTAGATCTTGGCCTACATCCTTTGAGGTAAGAAATTGTGATGAAAAATTATAAGAATTGACTTTCACTTTGTGTGAGTTCATTGGAGTATGAACCTTCATAGAGTGAGGGCCAAACATTGTATAAACGTCGTTGCAAGCTCCGACGTTCATACAGTTTGGCCTTCACTCTTTGAAGGTTCATACTCCAATGAACTCACGGAAAGTGAAGGTCAATTCTTAAAGGATGTTTGCTAGTGCATATGCGTTTTCGAAATACGTTAGTCTGACTATGGACCTTTTCCTTCCGGTGTCAGTCTCAGACCTCAGCATCATATATGGAAAGCCCTGAACATAAACGGCATGAAGACCAACCTGATCCATTCAATATACTGCCGACAGCAATGGTCAAGGTCTTTTATCATAACATGTATTCATACAGAAAATATTGTTAAGACAAACCTCTGAAAACTTAAGGGTACGCAAAGTTAAAATAAGAACATAACCGGGGGACAAAGGAATATAAACCGAGTTTGGTTTTAGATCTATCGATTCATCACTCATTCCTGGAACAGTTTGTAAAAAGTAAACTGTGTGTATATAATTTTGTGTAACAATAAAAAGGTTTAATGAAGACTGGGGTAAGAAATGAATTCGTACCAGCATGACTTCTACATGTACCTTGTTGTATATTTTTGCCGAAAAATGCAAGTTTGTTGATTTTCAAAAATAAGATGTCTTAGGTACCCATTAGCACTTGTGTATTATTATTCTTTTATTTTTTTAAAGGTTTAAATCAAATTATATTGTAAATTATAAAACCATGTAGAAGAATTCTTTTAGTGATGACTAAGCATTATTGGAATATAATATCGCTAACTTGCGGTATTTTCAATTGAAATCAAACATATGATATAATCAACTAAGAGCCGTAGATTCGTTAGACACATGAACCGACTTTACACTATGCAATGTACTTCATGGCGACAAGGAGGGACATTCTGGAATTAACATTTGTCCATGGGCGCTCTTGTTTGTTCAGAGTAAGGGCTAGCCTACACATTCAAATATGCGGCACCATGTATGTCATAAGAGTGAGTATTAAGAGCATGTCTGGAGATATGGCTCGCCAAGTAGTCTTCACAAGTTTCGCTCTCTTTGTACCGCGCTCTAAGGCTTCACCTTTCAGTAGAATCAAGACTCGGGACTAAAATATCAGAATACATATACATATATGGTATCAACCATTAATGGGAAGAGGTATATCTATATACAACCTTCGTGAATGAGTGTAGGCGTTCTGACACTTAGCCACTGCAACATCGATCACGCCTAATCTTCCACGGTGATCAAAAGACATCTGCCCTTCGTTGTCTACCAAGGTTACTAAAAGACCAGCTGTAGCGGCGTCGATGTACGAGTCGACGGCGTCAGGTGCTTCCCTCTGAGGTACGCTTGACTAGCTGGTGACCCGTTTTTTTATGGTTGTTTGAACAGGTGAACAGTCCATTAGCGTTGTTATACTTAGTCTGCTGCACCAAAGGAGTGGCACATGTCAACAAGTTTCAACATTCAAATACAAGTTTTCTCAGTCTTTGTTATTGAACATCAATCATTAGTTCATGCAATTCCCAATGTTGACTTGTATCATATGTTCCTGTGGCTTTTTTCGAGTGAACAGTTCACTTGCCCGTGCGTGTGTTTGTGGCGGGTACCACCTGTTGGCCAGTGATTTATACATCCTAATGATATAGGCGGAATCGTTCAATCGACTCTGCTTTTTGCAGAGATCAGTTATGATTATGGAAATGGTTTGGGGGCTTTTTCACATTCACTTTTTGATAATTTCAGATAATAAATATTTTGCTGGTTTTAAAAATCGCACACGGAGGATATATTGGCAGCCGATTTGGATAATACAAATGTCGAACCCTGGTTTTTTCCAGAAATGTCACCACCGGGAGATCTCATTAGAAACGTCTTTATTAATACAAAGGGACATTAGCTCGCCCCTATGAATTTTTGCATATTTTATCAATAACTGGTTTATAGATTATTTACAGAGCGCCATTGTGTCGGTGAAATATTCCTGACTATGGAGTAAAATAATATTCTCGCAAGAAACAACACCTCTTATAAGCAACGCAATTCAACTTAAATGAATTTAATCAGGTTTATATCAACTTGTGTATGACTCTTGCTCAGTTGTTCGATCAAAGTTACAACATTCAAGGCCTCAGTAAAGCTTTCAAAATGGTTTATGCTGGACATGTGGTCATGTCCAAATTTGTCTCATCAATGACAATAATGATTTGACTTGTACCATACGTTCCCATGTTCTTTCGGGTGAACAATTGACTTGCCTTTGCATGTGTTTGTGGTGGGTACCCTTGGAGTGGTAGGATATGCTCATCTTTTCGCGAACACCTTTTCCGCCATTATGTTACTGGAATAGTGCTAATACTTGTATATATGACCATCTATGAGACATATCTTGAGATATATGAGCATCTATGAGACATATCTTGAGATATATGACCATCTATGAGACATATCTTGAGATATATGACCATCTATGAGACATATCTTGAGATATATGACCATCTATGAGACATATCTTAAGATATATGACCATCTATGAGACATATCTTGAGATATATAACCATCTATGAGACATATCTTGAGATATATGACCATCTATGAGACATATCTTGAGATATATGACCATCTATGAGACATATCTTGAGATATATGACCATCTATGAGACATATCTTGAGATATATGACCATCTATGAGACATATCTTGAGATATATGACCATCTATGAGACATATCTTGAGATATATGACCATCTATGAGACATATCTTGAGATATATGACCATCGTTGAGACATATCTTGAGATATATGACCACCTATGAGACATATCTTGAGATATATGACCATCTATGAGACATATCTTGAGATATATGACCATCTATGAGACATATCTTGAGATATATGACCATCTATGAGACATTTCTTGAGATATATGACCATCTATGAGACATATCTTGAGATATATGACCATCTATGAGACATATCTTGAGATATATGACACCTATGAGACATATCTTGAGATATATGACCATCTTTGAGACATTTCTTGAGATATATGACCATCTATGAGACATATCTTGAGATATATGACCATCTATGAGACATATCTTGAGATATATGACCATCTATGAGACATATCTTGAGATATATGACCATCTATGAGACATTTCTTGAGATATATGACCATCTATGAGACATATCTTGAGATATATGACCATCTATGAGACATATCTTGAGATATATGACCATCTATGAGTGCCATGCAATTTAATCAGTGTGTAGATGTGTTTTATTATGTACTGTCCTTACCACAGACACCAATTACCGATGGTATGTCATTTCAGGCCTGTCCACAATGGTGTCAGGAGAGTGTCCCGCCGACGCTGAGAACAGAATACAAATGTGCACCAAGCATCTCAATCAGTTTGGTAACAACAACAACAACAATAACAAAGAGGCCCTCACCAAATATTGCAGGTACACCTTTCATAGTTATTCATGACGATACGATACTTGACCATTAAATACAGTGACATGACACTATTGTCTACACAGAAAGTAGAAGTTTCAAATAACTTCGTGACCTCATGCAAGGATCGGCTGACGTAAATGAAATCTTTCAAAAACGTTGCTAAAAGAGCGGTCAGTTTGAGAATATTTTGATAGGTCGCATATCTTTTAAGAGTTTAAAGTTACCATAACTCGAATATTTGATTCAACATGTCAAATGAGATCATGTGTCGAGGGTTATAGTTCGATTCGTATTTGTACAATTGAAAGAAGCTTTGGGATGAAACAAACATTTAATTTAAAATTAAGTGGTCTGGGTATTTGTTTTTGCTCGTTATTAAGTAAACAGGCAACTGTTATTATATTGCCTTGTGCCACAATTCAGACCCTAAACCAATATGAAACTTCTTCAACTCGAATTCTGTTAATGACAGAGCGACACGCCCTAAAGGAGGTGTGGTGTAACAATTCAATATTATAGTCAATATCGGGTGTGACCACCAATGGCGTTGATGCAGGCGAGACATCGATGATTAATTGACGACACTAGTCAGGGGGATGTTGTTCCCCACAGATTCTCAACTTAGTTGGCCTTAGACCAACTCATCTGTTACATACTTACATCTATGCATAAAGACTCTTCAAGACTGTATGACAAGAGGCATAACTTCAACTTTCCAACAGTCAGCTTTTCCTTCGAATTCATGTCGAGCTCCAGCCTTTGGTGGTCACATTTCGCAACACTTGAGATACAATCGAGCATGCCCTTCCTACCAAGATTTCAAATAGCGTCATACGACTCTTGTCAGAAGTTGTTTGATCAAGGTAACAACATTCAATGCCTCAGTAAAGCTTTCAAAACGTTTTATGGTAGACATGTGGAGGACATTTCCAAATTTGACGCATCAGTGACAAAAATTATGTCCGATGCAATTCCTTATTTTAACTTGTACCATATCTTCCCGTGTTTTGGCAGGTGAATGATTGACTTGCCTTTGCATGTGTTTGTGATAGGTGACACAGATTGGGCAGCCTACGCTCACCTTTCCGCGAACACCTTGTATCATTACCATTTGATAATGATTCATAAACACATGCTCATGATATAGTAGGAATTGTACAATCGACTCGGCTTTATGCAAAGTTTTCTATTGGATATGGAAAGGGTTTTGTCGCTTTATTTACCTGCTGGTTAGGATAGGCATTACCCTGCTGCAACGTCGCTGCTTTTACACAAAGAGCACAACATGTTCTCGATCGATGTCGTACCAGTAGCGTACACGCCATTCAAATTACCATTAACAATGATTGAGTGGTGATACCACCCTATACCATTACACGTCCACCCTATGATTAACGTCCACCCTTCCACGACTTGGAGTAACGCAAGTGTCGCTATAACGGTCTCCTGGACATCTGTAGACCCTAGCACGACCATCAGAGGTGTTCAGATGAAACCTGGACTCACATCGGAACTGGATACTGTCCTGGTATCGTCTTCAGAATCTCGGACGTTGTCTAATCCAAGCTAGGCGTGCCTGACGGTGACGTGGAAGCAACGTTGTGCGTATCGTTGGACGAAGGGGCCGAGTGTTGTGCCCTTTCAACGGCTGTATACGGTTCTGCCACTGATTGGTCTTAACCCAGAGATTGTCCGAGCTGTTAATGTGACAGTTTGGTGTCGATTCCGTAGATGAACCGAAAATGGGTGACTTGTTGACATGACGTCACACGTGGACATCCGACCGTGGGAGGTCATGAGTGTTGCCCTGCTGTAGGCAACTCTGCTGTCTCCAAAGAGATGACGTTGTCTTTCGAGGAACATAAAAGTGTGTGGTGACGTTTTGCGCCATTCCTATTTGCAGCATACCGACGGCGTGTAGAGGCTGATTTTCAGAAAGCCGTGGTAATATATTTTTATGAGCACCTTATAGCTAAACAATCATAGCTAAACAATCATAGCATAGTGCAAGAGTATCGTGCTCCCAACAAACACGCAGAGATCATAATTTGCACGTGCAAATTGTGAATCATGATCTTAAACTCGAGAAGATTCTCATGAATATTTATTGCCAGGTACATTATTAAATTTCAGAATATTATATTTGAACTTTGTATGAAGCACATTTACAGTTTTCCGTTATATTTTATATCATATTATTTTAAATATGCGTCCGATGCAATCCAACGTTATATCAAATGTTAAATGCATGTTGCAATCATTGCAAGTGACCTTTTCAAACAATGAAACTGTGGAATCAATGTTGATTTATTGAAGTCCAGTAATATGTCTGAACGCAGAACCCTGAAGGAAGCCCCGGCATGTCTGCAGCAGATCCTCCACCAATGTCAAGGAGACACAGGCCTCGGTTCAATAGAAGTCCTGAAGAATGTGACCAATCAACTGAAGGCTGCATTTGACAAGAAGTGCGAACAAATTTGTGGTCAGTGCTTCTATGACATTCCAAGTAGGACATGTTACTTCTTACAATATATTCCTTGTCTATGTGCTTGCTTGAATGATTGCCTATGCTGTGTAGCTGTTGTGTTGCATATAAATATCCTAAATTTGTTACGTTTTCAATATGATCATATTCTGCAGTCTCCATATTGAACTGATCACTCAGGCGAGGCCTGTCTGTTTCCGCAGGAAATTATAATTCGTTAGGAACCCAATGTGGTTTCCATGTTGCAATAGGTCCACCGCATCATATATGCTACTCAACATTTGGTAGGGATATTCTAAAAGTGAAATGAAGCTCAACATGCATCAGGTTAAGCACAAATCACATCCTACTCGCATGAAAACATATCCAGGTTTATCCCCTCACAGAAAAGCCTTAACAAATGTTGAGTAGTATGATTGTACTAGGCCACAGCTTGGCTCAGTGACTTGGTTGACTTTGTGTCAACAATTAACTAAGTTAACAAATCAAAACAAGTTAAAATTGAAAAAGTTAACAAATCAAAACAAATTACTGCACACCCAGCAATTAGAATAGTAGTACACAATAGAGTTGTAGTACAATATCTAATGGCAGTATAAAATGTAACAGAAGCGGAAATGACAATGACAAGAATAATTGCCTCATTGCAACAGTGGTCAATCTTCGGAAATCCAGCGTGAAATCTGATCTTCACAAAAAAGCTTGTCTTCATGTTATTTTTCATAAATTAAGAGATGAAATACGAGATGACAGGCCCGCGCCTGCTCCACTTATATAATCTATCTAGCTTCCAGCACTTTCCACACAGTGCTTGACCAGTACAGTGCCACTTGAACATCACAAAATATTCAACATGTTTCTTAACATTTGACGTCTATCCATGTATTTCCGGAAGTTTACAGATACTTGTAGCATATAAATATAATAACTTTCTCACCACTGCTTACATTAAATAGTACTACATTCCTGGCAACTAATCATTGTCCAAATACAATGCAATGAATTTCTACTGAATCTCAAAAGAACCCATGTAATACAGTTACAATCATTGTTTAACAATAGATTACATTGCCATATAACAAGACTTTAGCGATTGAGCCATCAATGTGTTCATTGCAAGCAAAAATACTCCAGGCCCAACAACAGGATAAATAGTTATGGAAGGTTTTTTATTTGACTTTGAGGAAATAGGTCGGACCAACACATTGGATATTTACCAACACACCCGAAACGTGCAATTGTTGCAATTCTTCTGTGTGCGTCGGTCGGGGGTAATTCTTAGATTTGACTCTACAGTGAAATGTCGTCAAATCGCACAGAGCCATTAGTATTGTTGAGTTGCCTCATCCACAGTCTCACCTGAGCTCTCTAATCTTTCTTTAATGCAGTATTTGTGTCCAAACCTTGTTTTTAAACCAATAGTACAGTGAAAGATCAGGCCACACACCATCACTGCATCTGACACATGCTACCACCGAGGGGAAGAAGATATAGATGGCTTTATACGGGCTCATAACATTTTCCCGATTAAACCTGATGTGTACAAATAATTCCAAAGCCTAACACGATTAACCGAGTCGAATGCCTTTTCAAAGTCAACAAAGACAAAACAAGACAAACTTTGTTAAACCCGACTGAACATTTCATTTAAAGTGAAAACATTATCCATTGCAGAGTATCCATGTCGAAAATCAGCTCGTGTTTCTGTAACTGTATTTCTCAAATTTCCCCAGTTGGAAAGTCTGGTATTTAATAGGGAGGTATACATTTTACTTACTAATATACCCAAGAGATATATTATATTACTCTGTAATTATCTGGATTTTGTTCGTTGCCTTTCTTTAACTTTATTCCTTGACACGTGGTGCTTTTGTTACAAAACGTTGTGTCCATAGATATATACTCACCGCCAAAAGAAACGCCAACCTCAGAAACATAAAGGGAAGTATGTACGTTAAGAAGAAATGTTTCCAATGTGTACCAATTAATTCTTATCACGATATGCTGCATGTGACTTCCAAACTTTACATGCTAACCCTGAACGATACAAATAGTAAATCTGGAGTCATGGATCTATGACGTCACATATGATGCGTTCATGGGCATCGGTTCATACAACATACCACTGTGTTCGTTTGTGCATCGAACAAATCTAATGTCTCTAATATGAGTAAGTCTTCATAAATTAACCAACATGTATGGTATTCGCGTTTCTTTTGGCGGTGAGTATATTTACAAATCTATCTTGCGAGATTAAGGTCAATTTGTCAAAAATGAAATCCAATGTCATCTGAAGTTTACTGAGAAAACAATATGTGAGCTTCCAATGATGACATATATATGTACAATTTGGGGGTCATCCCGATGGGCGCTAACTGTGCTCCCCTTCTTTCTGATCTGTTTCTTTATACATACGAATCAGAACTTCTTCTCATATCAGCCGCCTCCGTGGTCTTGTGGTAGAGCGTCCGCCCGGAGAGCGGAAGGTCCAGGGTTCGATCCCGGGCCGCGTCATACAAAAAGACGTTAAAAGATTGTACTTGTTGTTACCCTGTCTGGCGCTCGGCATTAAGGGGCTAAAACAAGGACTGGTCGGCTCGGAGTCAGTATACTGTGTCTGAGTGGGGTATTCATGTTAAACTGCGGCATGGTATCTCAGTGAGCTAGCACTATAAATCGGCATCAGTCCGGACTAGTACACACACATACACGTGCATGCACGTCTCTATATAAGTGCAATAATCTTGGACGCGACGTTAAACCCAATTTCACCTCACCTCACCTCTTCTCATATCAAAACGAGGTAATCTGGCCAAGAAGTTTAACTTAAGCTTCAGGTATATCGATGATCTGATAACCATCAAATCATCTTCCAATGACTTACCCACATGAACTAGAAATAAAGGAGACCAGTGAGACCGCGTCCTCCGTTTCATATTTAGATCTATGCATAAAGATTCGGAGTGAAAGAACACTCTCGAAAAGACTATATGACTGGACAGATGACTTCCAGTTCCAAATGTCCCTTTATGTGAAGCAATATTCTAGCAACTCGAGACCTTGGCGTCACAACTTTTGAGGTATAATTGAGCATGCTCTTTCTACGAAATGTCATAGAGCGTCATACGAGTCTAGTTTAGAAGTCAAGGCTATAACATTCAAGGGCTCAGTGAAGCTTTCAAAACGTGTTATGGTAGACATGTGGAGGTTCCCTATTATCCCGAGAATCAACCAACTTTTTTAAATAAAAGTCTTGAGAATGGAAATGTGACCGTTTCAGAACATTTCAACATTTCGTTGATATTATCGTCATGTTCAGGGGACAGGGTTAATTGCTGCCTGATCTCTTAATCCGTGATGTGCGACTTCAGCATACATTCCTGAAAAAAATCTCATTTCATTATTAATAAAAACCCTCTTAAAATGCTCAAATCAACTTCCCAAGTCCTTCCAAAAGATTAGTCCTTCTTGAGACATGATTGTTTTTCTTTATATATGCTATTAGTTAGATTTTGATAATTAACCTTTACGTTTCTCTTTATTTTGCAATTCTTGCAATATATATGCAATAAACCAGAACTTTGCTATCCATATTGTTGTACGTTTTTTTACTTACTCACCACCTTGAAGAATGCCAATCAAACAGTTAGTACGTGGAACTGTATATGCGATAGAAAGATTTCAATTTGTATTGCTCAATGCATGTTATATAGTCAATATCTGACATGCCAACGAAATCTCAATAATCCATTTTCCTCTTTGTATGTCTTACTTCTGTGTTGTCAAATGTCAAATAGTGGCATATACATTGTAACTATGCATTTATCTGTGGATGTGTATATATATAGAGAGAGAGATTGGTAAATGCATTATGTTATCAGTATTTCAATCTAAATTATACGTGTTGTATTTTTGCCTGAAACGTTTCATGTAAGTAAGACACTGCGTTCATATTTTCCAGCACCTGACGCAAAGGCGATCAGCTCGTCATCGATGGTTTGGCACCATTTAACATTGATCCTCGGTGGCGTCCTCTCGACTAGGATGTTGGCATCGTGATATGTACACTCTACTTCTTGATTCTCCTTGGCAGAGACAATGGATACACACTGTGTTTTCAAGAACCTGAATATCAGCTTTTGTGATGATGCAAATCTCCATGAGGTGCCTTTATCTATCCACTTAACAGATTCGGGCGCACGTCAACATATATGCAGAATAATCAGCACGCATCGTACATAACAGTATGGAAACGTGGACATGCTTCATTCTTGAACAGGGTGTCGGTGACGGATAGAGTCCGCCTTGGATCTGTATCCCCCTATGCAGACAAGGGGCTATCTTTCATCCGCTTCAATGAATCATACAGACACTTTATTTCAGTGACCATTAATAACCTTATACCATTTTGTTCCTTGTTTTAAATGGGTATATTTACATGCATGACGGACATGATTATGTAAGGCCAAATTATCGCGCCATGTTAGTTATCTCAATGATAACGTTAGATTGAACTGATTTGAATGCATTAGACCACAGGACCATGTAACAATAAAAATATAAAAAAGTCGCAAAAAAAATCCCGGCCTTTGGTCTCGTCTATGATTATTTTTTTGCGACTTTTTTTATTGTTACATGGTCCTTTGATTAGACTGTCACTTCAGCTGTACCTCTGAATTGTATTGAAGCATTAATATTACCATATACATGTTATGAATTGCCTATATTTGTCTATGTTTCACGTAACCAATGCATTTGGCAGCCGTTTACATATTGTATTGAAACTGAACAGGTTTCAAATACTGTTTGAAACCTCAGTACAGAATGTGGACCGTCACTGATGCACATAACATGACACAAGTTGATTATACGCCGGTAATTAGTGTATTGTAATAGCTGTGTGTCATGATAAGAGTGAAAGATCTGTCAGCTTTAAGCTTGGAATGTCAAATACGTGTTTGTGTATGTTACAGTCGTTTCCGTCCTTTTTCGTTCGATCTGATAGATCTCTGTGAGATGGCGGGGTAGTTGGTCTATGTCAAAATTTATGGAAAGGTTTTAGTGAAGCGTTTTCTAATATTTGAACATGTGCAAGTTTTTGTCCTCTGGTTCTCTTAAGAGATGTATATAGATATATTATAGCTAAAATGGATAGAATTATCATTAAACCGCCCGCATGTTATCAGAAATGTGCGGGCCACTGTAACATGATAATGCCCTCATATTGCTTGACGACGGGCCATTATCACGCCCGTTGTTAAGTGACGTCATAGGATAGGGAACGGTGACGTCACGTTCAATAGTGACGTCATCTGGTTTGTTCCCTGGCGTTTCCATATTTGTAAAAGTGGGTCGGTCATTCGTGTTGATTACAGTAAATGTTTCCAAACCAATATTATTGTTTCTTTTTATCTTATAGCAAATTCCACTCATGTTAGCTATAATAACGGTAACGCTATTTTCACGGCATTATCATTTGCAGAAGCCCTCGGTCTTTTTCAACCGCCCTCCTTCGTCGGGCAGTTAATGGAAGACCTCGGGCTTCTGCATATGATAATGCCCCGAAAAAAAGCGTTACCCTTATAATATCACCTGTGAAACGATCATCGTGGGTCAAGGGTCGACTTTCCCACAGTTCTTAAAATTCGATAAATGGACTTTATCACTCATTCTTGACTAAATTATGCATTAGATGGAGTTCAAACCTTCCCAACGTTACAGAACAAACATCTATTTGGCAGCCTTTTGAACATGTCTGATAATTTTCATACGAATATTTGGAAGGTTTCCATATATTAACAACTGCAACGTTTCCAGTGTCCTTCCTCGTCCTTCAGGTTCATATCATCGGTTACAACTTAATTTGACACTTCACATGGAGTCTTTTTAATTCATCTAAGTTTACATTTTATTCATATGTTACACATGTGTAACAAGGTACAATGTGTAACATATCAGTATACATGTGTGACACATATGTAACAAGGTGCAATGTGTAACATATCAGTATACATGTGTGACACATATGTAACAAGGTGCAATGTGTAACATATCAGTATACATGTGTGACACATATGTAACAAGGTACAATGTGTAACATATCAGTATACATGTGTGACACAAATGTAACAAGGTGCAATGTGTAACATATCAGTATACATGTGTGACACAAATGTAACAAGGTGCAATGTGTAACATATCAGTATACATGTGTGACACAAATGTAACAAGGTACAATGTGTAACATATCAGTATACATGTGTGACACAAATGTAACAAGGTGCAATGTGTAACATATCAGTATACATGTGTGACACAAATGTAACAAGGTACAATGTGTAACATATCAGTATACATGTGTGACACAAATGTAACAAGGTGAAATGTGTAACATATCAGTATACATGTGTGACACAAATGTAACAAGGTACAATGTGTAACATATCAGTATACATGTGTGACACATATGTAACAAGGTGCAATGTGTAACATATCAGTATACATGTGTGACACAAATGTAACAAGGTACGATGTGTAACATATCAGTATACATGTGTGACACAAATGTAACAAGGTACAATGTGTAACATATCAGTATACATGTGTGACACATATGTAACAAGGTGCAATGTGTAACATATCAGTATACATGTGTGACACAAATGTAACAAGGTGCAATGTGTAACATATCAGTATACATGTGTGACACATATGTAACAAGGTGCAATGTGTAACATATCAGTATACATGTGTGACACAAATGTAACAAGGTACAATGTGTAACATAGCAGTATACATGTGTGACACAAATGTAACAAGGTACAATGTGTAACATATCAGTATACATGTGTGACACAAATGTAACAAGGTGCAATGTGTAACATATCAGTATACATGTGTGACACATATGTAACAAGGTACAATGTGTAACATATCAGTATACATGTGTGACACAAATGTAACAAGGTGCAATGTGTTACATATCAGTATACATGTGTGACACAAATGTAACAAGGTGCAATGTGTTACATATCAGTATACATGTGTGACACAAATGTAACAAGGTACAATGTGTAACATATCAGTATACATGTGTGACACAAATGTAACAAGGTGCAATGTGTTACATATCAGTATACATGTGTGACACAAATGTAACAAGGTACAATGTGTAACATATCAGTATACATGTGTGACACATATGTAACACATTACAAAGTATACATGACACAGTCGCATATGAGATTAATATATTATGCGCCCCTTGTGAGTGACTGATTTAATATTTAGCGTCGCATCGGCACTATTTCAGCCATATAGCGATCCGAACAAGTTGATACATATACAATTGAGTCGTGAATACAAGTTATATTTTTAAAGACAAATTTGTCAAACATATTTGGGCATAACAATATCGAGCCCCTAGTAGCAGAGCAACGTTAACACGGATATTTCTAAGGATTAGGAAAGGTTTTGTTGCCCCTTTTAATCAAGTTTGTTTTCTGTAGATTAAAACTGAACCTATTGTTAATGCAGAGAAGAATGATTAACCAGTTTATATGCGGGAAGAAAAATTAAAAGCAGACAATAAACATTAACTAGTATTGCATCAAATACAACACATGTCAGCCAACATCAGCTCATCTATTCAGTGACGAAGCAGTGTGTGTTCAGTTCAGTGACGAGGCAGTGTGTGTTCAGTTCAGTGACGAGGCAGCCTGTGGTCAGTTCAGTGACGAAGCAGCCTGTGGTCAGTTCAGTGACGAGGCAGCCTGTGGTCAGTTCAGTGACGAGGCAGCCTGTGGTCAGTTCAGTGACGTGGCAGTGTGTGTTCAGTTCAGTGACGAGGCAGCCTGTGGTCACTTCAGTGACGAGGCAGTGTGTGTTCAGTTCAGTGACGAGGCAGCCCGTGGTCAGTTCAGTGACGAGGCAGTGTGTGTTCAGTTCAGTGACGAAGCAGTGTGTGTTCAGTGACAAAGCAGATCGTGTTTTATTCAGTGATAACGCAGGGTTAATTGTTTTTACTGACTTGGCCGCCCATGTTCTATCCAGTGACAAATCGGTACTTGTTCCGTTCAGTGATGAAGCAGAGTTTTGATCAGTGGCCGCACAGTCCATTAACTATTCTCATACGATGCCGTCTAAAGTCTGACAAAGCAGTACACGTTGTGGTTAGTCGCGGGACAATGAACGCGTAGTTAGTTTCTCGCTGCATCACCGTTATACAGAGAGCTGAGTATGACTGCTCACGACTTGTGGTGTCCATGTCCCTAGCAAATAAAACATAGCCGGCATTGTATTGACTTGTCTAGCCAGCGTTAAGGAAGATAACCGATAGCTCGCAGAAGTTATCTGAAAGGGCCCAAAAATCAATACAGTTCATTGTACGTCGAGCGTCCTAGCATTATATAATAACCGCTGTTACCACAGTGTCGTTCTTGTAAGTTACAGTCTGGATATGATCCCGTGGTGCCTCAATCTTTTCAAAGTTCCTGTTTATCTTTTGAGGTACAAAATGAATGTAACGAGGCGTATAGTGAAAATCGTTTTCTTGATCTGGGGACGGATGGAGCATCTCCTTCACTGAGTTCACTGGGAACATATTGCACTGCACAGTTTAAGGTCGTATGCGCTCGTTGGTACGACAACCCCGCGAAGGAACTATTATAATGCACTAGTGATACCATATATCTCAGGTATCTGTCTTTCAGGTATTCTCATTGCAAGCTACTGATGAATACACTGAACATAGATTGTACAGTTCGAAAGCCTAATGGCGCACTTTAATATGCTGGTAGCATAATCGAAATTTCGCGCTACTTCAATTATATTTTCGTAATTTTGACTTTTTTCTCGTTATTTTAGTTTTATTTTATTTTTGAAATCGAAATTTCACTTGTTTTTCTCGTATTTCCGAGTATTTTCTCGTTATTTCGAAATAACGATAAAAAAATCGAAATAACAAGAAAATAATCGAAGTTACGCGAAAGATCTCTAAATTTAGTCAAAAAAGATGAATAACTGAAATAACGAGAAATATTCTCGAAATTTCAGTTTTAAAAAAAGAATTATGCTACCAAAGAGACACCATTAGGCTATCGTAGTACGGTACCAGATGGAATGCAAATATTCAGTTTGGACGAATTGTGACAGTAGTTTACAGTATCTCGATGTTCATGCATGTCATACAAGGCTTACATGAAATCACCAAACACTCCCAATAACTGAAGGGGCACGCTAAGCCCAATCATCTAAGGCGCCGCAGTTCGCTGTGCGGAGTTGCGTCCCTAGAGGGTGCCAGAAAATTGGAATCCCAGATTGGTCCTGGTTAATTATGGTTAATAAAGTTTATCAGCATCATGAACGTGCTGGTGGGTTTCACAAAGGGATTAACGTGTAAGTCCTGAGTCTCTGCAGACTTCCGGTCCCACTTAAAGCTGACCCACAGGTACATAACCAAAATACTAATTCACTTTTTCACTCAAAGAAATGAAGGTTTGTCGCCACAAAAATAGGAGACATTTCTGCAAAAGAGAAAAGATGATTAAGGTATATACACTACAGTCAATGAGGAAAATGTGATTCACTTAGGAAATTTACAAAATGCCTAGAACGTTTAGTCATATTCCTACTGCAATTACAGAAGATGTCTTAGAAAATATGATTTAGTTTCAACTAGACAGTGTTTATTCTAAATTTAATATCGGCCAATTAGGTGAAGGAGGTTAAATTGGGTTTTACGTCGCGTCCAAGATTATTGCACTTATATAGCGATGTGGATGTGTGTGGCTGCTTGTACTGGTCCGGTCTGATGCCGATTTATAGTGCTAGTACACTGTGATACCATGTCGCAGTTTAACATGAATACTCCACTCAGACACAGTATACTGACTCCGAGCCGACCAGTCCTTGTTTTAACCCCTTAATGCCCAGCGCCAGACAGGGTAACAACAAGTACCATCTTTTAACGTCTTTTGGTATGAGGCGGCTGGGGATCGAACTCCGCACCTTCCGTTCTCTGGGCGGACGCTCCACCACTAGACCACGGAGGCGTTTTCGACCATGTCATACCTTTCGTGTGGTTTTGCAAAATTATTTTTCTGAGGATGATGAGGATCGATGTTCAATGGGCTTTGTTAATATCATGTGGGGCAGCCAACCTGCATATTCTTTGAGCAGTATGTTTGCGATGTCATAGTGTATCTAATGTTTGTTTCTAAGTCATGTGATAATTTTGACTCTAAATGTACATTCGCTTATGTTCTTACTTATGTTTCGACGTTAATATATGTTACACTTTACCAATAAAAATGTTTACTAAGTAACAGAAAAAATGTTTGTTGTTTGTTCAAATAGTTTAAAGATTTGCAGTTCTTAAGCTGTTCGGACATCTATCCTAACCAGTGAAGATCTGGGTTAGAAGTTGATAACGTTGCCGTTAATTGGCTTTCCGTCAAGTTCAAAAGCCCTGAGTGAGTGAGTGAGTGAGTTGGGTTTAACGCCGCTTTTAACAATATTCCAGTTATATCGCGGCGTGTCAGCTTAATGTGGGAGGAACGCCCGAAGTGATGCAGGTCTCAGACGTTTACCACTTCGGTGAAACCCACGAGCATGGGTATGGTGCTGACAAACCTAGAAACATAATCGGGGCGAACCGGGATTCGAACCCACAATCATAGGTTTCTGGCGTGCCCAAGGGGCGCAACTCTGCACAGCGAATCACGGCGCCTTAGACGACTGGGCCCCCCGTGCCCCCTCAAAAGCACTGAGAGTCTAACGTAGATTATCAAGGGAATCAATGCTTCCAATGTCGTCTACATTCTGAAAAGAAGACGCTTTTAGCTCTTTTCAAGCTGTATCAATAAGGAGGACACTAGAATTGGGAGTCACCAATTGTACTCACATTAGGAATCGGAACCCCTCATTTCGAGAAATCGCTTAACCCCTAGGCTATCCCAGCAACTCATTTTAATGCAAGCCCCGTAAAGGCCCGGGTAAGAATTGGTCTTCAGCAACCCATGCACTTCGTACGAAACGACTAACGGGGTCGTGTGGTCTTCGTCAAGCATTATATCTTATCCAAATTGCGTAGATCGATGCTTCATGATGTTAATCACTGGATTGTCCGTCCTTGACTCGATTATTTACAGACCGCCGTCATATAGCTGGCAATGTTGTTGAGTGCGGCGTTAAACAACAAACAAAAACACGTATCCCTTGGTACCAAAGACGAGCATTGCAGAACAAGTCAAATGTGATCAATTTGGAATGAAGAATGTTGATATTACCTATGACCCCTTGTAATTTTCATTTTATAGTGAAAATTATTCAGAATATGAGAGGTCAGCAGAAATCTACTCTCTGTGTAGTTTTGATATCAACAAAATAATAATAAATAAAGCGACAAAACCCTTCCCATATCCAATAGAAATCTCTGCATAAAGCAGAATCGATTGTACAATTCCGACAAGATCATGAGCATGTGTGTATGAATCACTATCAAGTAATGATACAAGATGTTCACGAAAAGGTGAGCGTATCCTGACCCACCGGTGGCACCCGTCACATACACATGCAAAGGCAAGTCAATTATTTACCCGAAAAAATCATTATTCGAAGTTCATTATTCACGTACGATAACATTTAGTTCCACTCCAACCTCCAAGAGTTGGCACATCTTTACACACACAGAGGTATCGTATCGAGGAACCAGATCTGATTTTAATGAGTTTGAGTTCCGCGTATATAAGAAATGGGTTCAGCAGTCTTCCGTACATCCCACATGACTGTAATGTTGAGTTTAACTGCAAGCTAAACACACAAAGTGTTTAAGAAGATGTATTTTAAATAAACAGTGTGACATGAAAGTAATTCATTAACTTACATTCTAACTGTTTTGCTTTGTATATATACATTGTAAAACATCAAAGCCAGAGAATAAACAATGAGGTGAGGTGAAATGGGGTTCTAAGATTATTGCACTTATGATGTGTACGGTGTGTGCGGCTGCTTGTACTAGTCCGGGCTGATGCCGATTTATATGCTAGCACATTCCATGCCGCAGTTTAACATGAATACCCCACTCAGACATACTGACTCCGAGCCGACAATTCCTTGTTTTTGCCCAGTAATGCCGAGCGCCAGACAGGGTTACGATAAGTACCATCTTTAAACGTCTTTTGGTATGACGCGACTGGAGTCGAACCCGGACCTTCCGCTCTACGGGCGGATGCTATACCATTAGACCACGGATGCGGTCACTACAACGATGGACTTTACAACCATATTAGAATTTTACAACGTTACTATCATACAACCACTTTACCTTTACTTTACTATCACATTACTTTACTACCCCGCCGTGATATTGCTGGAATACTGCTAAAAGCGGCGTAAAACCACACTCACTCACTCAATTTACACTAACACATTACTTTACAACCACATTACTTTACTATTAGACTCGTGAAGATCCGGCGTAGAACAGGTCTTAAGCAACCCATGCTTGCCGTAAAAGGCGACTATGCTTGTCGTAAAAGGCGATTAAAGGGATCGAGGGGTCAGGCTCGCTGACTTGGTTAATGCATGTCATCGTATCCCAATTGCGTGGATCGACGCTCATCATGTCAATCACTGGATTGTCTGGTCAAGACTTGAATATTTACAGACCGCCGTCATATAGCTGGAATATTGCTGAGTGCGGTGTTAAACAACAAAGAAAGAAAGACTTTACTATTACGTTACTTTTATACAACTACATTACTTTTACTTAACTACAATCTCACTACTGCGTTACTATTACAGTAATACCATACTTTACAACGGCTTTACTATTACAGTGACCTTGACATTCAGCACAATGTTCATTTCGTTAAAACTATGAGATAATAGTTCTTTGAGAGGTATTTAGAAGAATTTATTTACATCATTTTATTCATTTTATCCCCTGTGTAGTGACACAGTGTCTGTCCATATGTGAACTGAAGTTTGTCATATGCAACATCCTTTCGTGCTGTAATTGAATTGAGACGCTGACAAAGAAACAACTGAATTTCTGTGACGCCATTTGTATATTTTCAAAACACCTTCACACACCTTACATCAGATGTAAACATAAAATGCAAAATAACATGAATCATAATTTGCATATGAGTATTGTTCTAAGGATACCACAATTCCTTATTAAATAAAAAAAAGTCGAATTTGATACAACCGAATTTTGTCTCGCGCAAATTTATGAAAGAGGGTGAATTCTATATTCAAAGAAGGACAATTTGGTATAATCTACACTGCTGCTTATAATATTAAAACCATTCATATAATAACATTGACTCTTTCATTATCATCAGCTACCACAACAAGTGCACTAGACCTAAAGCCAACACGATAATATATGCCGCTGTCATCCTGGAGCTAGTATTGGTGATGGTCTCTTGCTGTGATGGTGTAGAGAGAGTTGGAGGCACGGTCGTGTCCACGTACGGTCCGAACATGCACGTTGGCTGGCTGAATAGACGGATGACCTTCATGAGGACGTTCCGGGCATTGTCTGGACACTTCCTGGTCAGCTTACTGTCCACACACTCCAATGTGTCCTCTATATGTCTGAAAGAGGACATACAACAATCTGTTTGTCTCTTTCACAGATCCTGATGTTTATGAGTGAGTTAAAATTTAACGTCGCATCAGCATTATTTCAGCCTTATAGCCACAGTTCATATATTCACAATTGAGTCATTTGAAACAGATTTGAGCATAATAATTTGAGCGGATTAACGCCGCTTTTAACAGTATTCCAGTTATATCACGGCGTGTCAGCTTAATGTGGGAGGAAAGCCCGAAGTGATGCAGGTCTCAGACGTTTACTACTTTGGTGAAACCCACGAGCACGGGAATGGTTCTGAGATACTTATAAACACCATGCTCGTCACGATTTGGCTGAAATACTGCCGATGTGACGTTAAATCTTAACTCACTCACTATACACACCATTGGGGCTAACCCTTTTTCGAACCTACAATCAAGGGTCAAATGTACACAACTCTGCACATCATTTTGTTTCCGCCACCCTAGGCGAATAAGCCCCCTTGCTTCTGTACATTCCTAATAGTATCTTAATGTGGCATTTGTATTCGAGTCTTGATACCCATTGAATGTGTCTTGAATGGCTATTTCATTTACGTTGCCGGGGAGTGTTGGACCACATTGTCTTGTTGATTGTGATTCATAAATATTTATGACATAATTGGAATTGGAGTTCTTTCCCACCGGGGGCGGACGGGTAGCCTAGTGGTTAAAGCGTTCGCTCATCACGCCGAAGATCCGAGTTCGATTCCCGACATGGGTACAATGTGTGAAGCCCATTTCTGGTGTCCCCCGCCGTGATATTGCTGGAATATTGCTAAAAGCGTGTAAAACCATACTCACTCACTCTTTCACACCAGTAGGGCAGGCTACGCTGACATTTTCGCTGCAGTTAAAATCGTACAATGTTTTTCTTTCCAACCGGTAGGGTAGGTAACGCTAACCTTGACGCGGCCACCTGGTATCATCACTAACCGATAGGGATTTCAAACAATATTCTTATGCTGCAGTTAAAATCGTACAATGATTTCTTTCCAACCGGTAGGGTAGGTAACGCTTACCTTGACGCGGCCACCAGGAAACATCATTAACTGATAGGGATTTCAAACTATATTCTTATGCTGCAGTTAGAATCTTACACTATTTTTCTTTCCAACCGGTAGGGTAGGTAACGCTTACCATGACGCGGACACCGGGAAACATCACTAACTGATAGTTTCAAACACAACGCTGGAATCGTAAAACGGGGACTGCTTTCAGCAGAGACTTCTTGTGATTATGGAAATGGTTTTGTACCCTGTATATATATTTTTGATAGGGTAAATGGGTACAATGTGTGAAGCCCAATGCTGGTGTCCCCCGCCGTGATATTGCTGGAATATTGCTAAAAGCGGCGTAAAACCATACTCACTCACTCACTTTTGCCCTTCAGTATATATCGTCTGGACTAATGTCGGTTTTAATGCTAGTCAACTGGGATGCCAAGCAGCAGTGTTTTGAATTTGTTTTGTTTTTTATCTAATTCACATTAGGTGCCACGATTTTACAACAAAATGGCTGGCCTAACGGGTCGTACGTTGTATGTGCAGGCTCAGTAGACATCACTTGGGAACAGCTTCTGATATTCGCCCTATCATTACATGGTTCATTTTCTGATATTTGTTAATAATTTGTACATGAAACACTAAGACCTTATAAAAGTTATTAAATGTACAGATTCATTCAAGAATTTTACATTTACGCACATAATATTGTGCCATTAGTGGAAGATAATTGAGTATCGTTTCGTCGGTGGACGCACTCTTTTTCACTCCAAATAATACTGTATCTCTGTACCTTACAAATATCATATTATTTACATTCACTTTCATCCATTTAAAAAGACAGATGTAAAAAAATGGAAGGAGTGTTTTACGCCCGATGGTCAAGCTATTACTGTACTCCCTAAATAACCTAAGCATTCTAGTTTTAATTCTATGTAAGAGGTAAATTAACTGTTAACAAAACACATTATTCAGTCACTTCAGCGTATGTTGATATCAAGTTTCTGTCCCAATACTATTCTTATGTTTACGCTTCTGCATCTTTTGTTTGTCAGTCTAGAAAAATCTGGACTGGCATCATTTTATCTGATCTGGTAAATTTGCAAAGTTGCCAGTCCGGTGGTGTGACCGAGAATTTGGGGAATTTCATACACTGCGTTTGGTATTACGCGAACCAGCGAACCACCGACCTCCCTCTCTCGGTTTAATTAAATAAATCATAACAATATTTCTCACGATGATAGTCAGATATTCACAGCTCACTCGTATAATGAAACCAGCGCAACACAAATATCCGCCTTCCCCTGCCAAGCCTGGTTTAATTAAATAAATCATAACAATATTTCTCACGATGATAGTCACATATTCACAGCTCACTCGTATAAAGAAAACAGCGCAACACAAATATCCGCCTTCCCCTGCCAAGCCTGGTTTAATTAAATAAATCATAACAATATTTCTCACGATGATAGTCACATATTCACAGCTCACTCGTATAAAGAAAACAGCGCAACACAAATATCCGCCTTCCCCTGCCAAGCCTGGATGTATTGACACTAACGCACATCAAAGAGACCAATGCTTCTCCTTGAAAGAAGCTGACTGATCCTTTTCCTTTGACCTTTTTCACATGACAAGCATGACAATTACGACGTATGAGGAACATATTGACATTATGTTATAACGAAGTGATATTTCTCTCAACAACTGCGTTTTCCTGTTCCACTATGGTTTGTTGTTCTCTTACTATCATACCTTGCAGAACTTTGGTAATAATAGTATTGGTTTTCCCTTATTAGGAATTTGAATAAATTGACCAATAAAATCTCAAATGGTAAACGTGAAGATAGATAACGTGGACGTTTCAGGGCTACTCCTTGAATACTGAGTAAGCGTATATAGCGTACAGTAAACTACGGTTATAACGAACACGCTTATAACGAACTGACGGATATAACGAACTACTTTTTTGGTCCCGATAATTAGCTGTATTATGCTGTATATATGCTTATAACGAACTACGGTTATAACGAACTAAACTTAGTAGTCCCTTTGAGTTCGTTATAACCGTACTTTACTGTATATAGTAGTATAGGTAATTATGGTTCTGGCTCACTTCCACTGGAGCCAGACTTATACCCCTATACTGCTACTACAGAGGGAATTTTTTTTATGCAAAAACGATGATGCAATTCAACGATCGTCATGACTCGTATTAAAAGAAAATTGAATATTAATTAATAATGGATAAAATTTACTATAGCCCTCGAGGATAATGGAAAGGTATAGGAGCAATACAAAAAATAGCCATCGCGGCTAAGGTATCTAAAGATGTGGCCAAGGATTGGTTAAAGAAACAAGCGATGTGGCAAATATATTTACCGGCACCGCGTTATATACCGAGGAAGAAGTTTGATATTTTTACAACGAATGAAGTTCATCAGGCTGACCTCTTGTTTCTCCCCCATGATAAGGTAAGACGTAAAACGTATAAATACACCTTAACGCTATACTACTGCTGATAGGTATTCAAGTCTGGGCCAGACAATCCAGTGATTGACATCATGAACATCGATCCACGCAATTGGGATACGATGACATGCATCAACCAAGTCAGCGAGCCTGACCACCCGATCCCGTTAATCGCCTTTTACGACAAGCATAGTCGCCTTTTACGGCACGCATTGGTTGCTGAAGACCTATTCTACCCCGGATCTTCACAGTCTTATAGTAAAGTAATGTGGTAGTAAGGTAGGATTAATGTGCAAAGATACCAATAAAACGAGCAAGTAAATAGGACTAGCAGGAGAAAGGCCAATTAAATACAGAGATGACTGTTGTTATGTAGTAATGCTGTTAGCCTGTTGTGCTCTTATGCTGTGATGCTCTCATACTGTTATGTTATTCTGTTATGTTCTTTTTATATTTTTATGTTGTTATGCTGTCATTTGTTATGTTGTTAAGCCGTTATTCTGTTCTGTTGTTCTGCTGTTATGTTTTTATGTTGCCATCTTGTTATGCTGTAATTTTTTTATGCTGTTAAATTGCTATGTTCTTATGATATTATGCTGTTATGTTGTGTTGTTATGCTGTGATGTTGTTATGTTGGTATGTTGTTTACCTGATTTTATTATGTCATGTCATGTTGTTACGTTGTTATGTTGTGGTAATGTTTTGATGTTAAACTGTGATGATCTTATGCTCTTGTGCCTTTATGTCATGCTGTTATCTTGCTGTGCTGTTTATGATGTTGTGTTGGTGTGTTTTATGCTGTGATGTTGGGATTTTGTTGTGCTGTTAACTTGATACGTTGTTGTGGTGTTACGCTGTCATGTTCTTATGTTCTTATGCAGTTATGTTGGTATGCAGTTGTGATGTGGTGTTGTTTTGTGGTTATGCTGCCATGTTGACATTTTCGTACCCTTGTTATGTTGTTATGTTATTATTTTGTTGTTGAGTTTTTTATATCATGATGTTGTTATGTTGTAACACTGTCATATTGTTATGTTATTGTTGTGCGTTTATGTTGTTACGATGTTAAATTGTTATGCTGTTATTGTGTTATGCTGTCATGTTATATTATGTTTTTATGTTGTTATACTGTTATTCTTTAAAGATGTTATGTTGTTATGCTGTTATGGTGCTATGCTTTTATTTTGTTACGTTGTGTTGTTTTACTGTCATGTCGTTATGTTATTATGTTGTTATGCTGTCATGCTGTCATGTTCTTATATTGTTACGCTATAGTGATGTTATTGTGTTATGTTTTCGCTAACACCTGGTATCATTACTATGTGATAGTGATGCATAAACACATCCTTACGATACGGTCGGAATCACACCAGGGACTCTACGTTAAGCAGGGCGTTCGAGCTTGAGTATGGACACGGTCTTTCTGTGTATATTGACAAACAATCACTCTCTACCCACAACTGTTTCATGTCTTCAAACATTTAGATGCTCATCAAAGATTTTGTAACATGATTATTTGAATCAGAGCTATGTTAAATCTGAAATGTGCATTTTTTCATTAGTCCCAGGGCTTTTAAGTGGGATGTTAATATTCAGTCGGTGTGCTAAACAGGACTTACGTGTTATATTTACATAATCTGGTTAATGAATACCTCTGAGTGTGGTCTGTTTATTTTGTGATTCGCTCTAAGGACCATTTGGGCTTCAGGGTTCGCAAAGATTGTCTGGTAATGATTGCTTTAACGGATACGTCGCGGTTAGAATATATAAACCTGTGAGCTAGGCTCTGGTAATTTAACAGTCAAGGCAAGTTCATTTGTATTATTCAATTTGTGTATCTTCGTACTAACATTGTAGACAGTAGTCACTCAAGAGGTCAACAATTACCCTAATTACACAGAATATAAAACGTCAATGCCAGAGAATAACCAGTCTCGGTTATCCGCTTTTACAGATTCCACTGGGCGTAAAAGGCAAGATAGCGGTGACAATTATATGAATGGTTCACAGAAAACCAGTGATGACACCAGGTGTTCCCGAAGAGGGTAAGCTTGTCCTGTCCAACCGGTAGCACCCGTCATTCACACAATTCACATAACAAAAACGTAAGTGTTTGTTTGTTGCAAAACGCCGCCATAACACGGCCTATAAACAAACCAGACAATCAAGTGATGTAAGTAAGTATAAGATATTTGGATGAACAACTTCGTTATTACAATTTGGAGCGATTTTTCGGTTAAGTTCTAACACCGTTATCAAGCAAGTGTTAGAACTTGCTTGATAACGGGGTAAGAACCTACACCGAAACGTCGGTCCAAATTGTAATAAAGAAGTTGTTCATCCATATATCTTTTCCTTATTGTTTTACTTAATACTCCAACTTTTAAATAACTCTAAATAAAAATCAAGTAATGGACAACAAATAGACCAAAAATGTGATGACGATAAAACGTCAACGCCAGAAAATAACCAGTCTCGATTGTCCAACAAAACAGATTCTCTTCGGCGTAACTAGGCAAAATAGGGGGGGGGGGGGGGGGGGGTGAGTATACGAATGGATCGCTGAAATCAGTGATGACACCAGGTGCTCACACAAAAGGTAAGCATGTTTGATGTCTAAATGGTCGGCCACCAGTTTAACGATGCCATTTCGCCGTCAGGCCAATCATATAGTTGGCATTATAAGAAGCTGGTTCTTCCCCATACTTACTCGCATGTGAGCTGCATCCCTGTCTTGGGGTCGGTCATGGTAATATTTCTCCTTGCTATCCTTTGAGCGAAGTGTATCATGCGCGACGTTGAGCACGTCCTCATAAAAGGCCGGACCCGTTGAGTGCAATTGACGTTGTCAGCAAAGACTGCATCAAGAACAACACTACCACATTTAAACATTAAAAACATCGTCATGCTACTTAAAAAGACAGACATATAAGTATACGTTTCTCAAACAACTCGTCCTGAAAGCGTGTTAACGGATCACTAGCCTTTCACTGTGTATCACTGAACATGGCATAAAACATCCTTTTGAATATTATTATGATCTGTTTAGGAGGTAGATCGGATCACTGTAACGTGAGAGTGCTTATTGAGCTGACGGTCTAACTTAATGTTAGCATATTAGAACCACCTGCAAAGATCCCGGTTAGAATAGTTCTTCAGCAACCTATGCCTGCTGTAAAAGGCGACTAACGGTATCGGTTGGTCAGGCTCGCTGACTTGGTGATGCATGTCATCGTATCCCAATTGCGTGGATCGATGTTCATGATGGTAATCACTGGATTGTCTGGTCCAGACTTGATTATTTACAGACCGCCGTCATATAGCTGGGATAGTGCTGAGTGTGGCGTTAAACAACAAATAAACAAACAGAGGGAGTGAGCAAATTGAACATCATTTCTATTGGCCCACCATGCACGTATTTAATGTCAAAGTAAGCCTTTTTGTATAGTATGGTGCTTACAAAAGAACCTTTGTACCGTTAACCGGCGAATCATTAGAGTAAATCGTGGTGCCATAGACCACTAGGCCAGGCCCTATCCAATATTCTGAAGTCACATTTACATTTACATATACAATAATGAGAAATTGATCTCAGTTTTAACGCAGCTTTGAACAGTCTGTCAATGATACCAAGGAATGTTAGCTTGAAAACGGTGAAAATACAAGGGTGCTCTCGTCAGCATCATTCACTTTAATGATCATCGTCAATATAATTAACTTAAATTATCATAGTCGAAAACAGTTTTTTAATAGTTATTGTCAATAACAATCACTTTAATGGTTATCGTCATTAAAAATCACTTTTAATGACTATCGTCAATAACATTCAATTAAACGATTATAGTAAAAAAACTTTTTTTAACGAATATCATCACTAACAATCACTTTAATGGTTATCGTCATTAACAATCACTTTTAAGTGATTATCGTCAATAACATTCAATTAAACGATTATAGTCAAAAAACTTTTTTTAACGAATATCATCACTAACAATCACTTGAATGGTTATCGTCATTAAATTTTACTTTAAATGATTATCGTCAATAACATTCAATTTCATGATTATAGTCAAAAACATTTTTAACGAATATCGTCACTAACAATCATTTTAATGTTTGTCGTTATTAACAATCACTTTTAATGATTATCGTCAATAACATTCTATTAAATGATTATAGTCAAAAACATTTTTTTAATGAATATCGTCAATAACAATCACTTTAATGATTATAGTTAATTAACACTCACTTTTAATGATTATCGTCAATAACAATCACTTTAATGGATATCGGTATTAACAATCACTTTCAATGATTATCGTCAATAACAATCACTTTAATGGTTATAGTTAATTAACACTCACTTTTAACGATTATCGTCAATAACAATCACTCTAATGGATATCGGTATTAACAATCACTTTCAATGATTATCGTCATTACCATTCAATTAAAATGTTATCATCGACATCATTCACTTCAATACTCGCCTATTCACTGCCGGCAACGCACTTCATGCAATAGTGGGTTTCCGAGGTTATACTTACGATCAGTGTTGTCACAATATAATGCCACAGCTTCTTTCCACGCGGCCGTATCGATGGTCCGTCTCAGCTCCGTTTCACACTCTGACTTTATCTTCTCCATGCATTGTAACGACTTTGACAACCTTTGACGACTGAAATGTCCATAAATAATACCAACGTTTAAGAAGAAAATATACTTCTTTTGCGACAGTTGATTGCTCTTTTGGCCGTGGAAATAAATGCAAGAAAAATCTCAAGGGACAATACTTAACTAATGCTCTTTGTGCACCCTTTAGGCAGAAAGAAACATCTCCGCAAAACTTATGTGCGGCTTATATTTGTATGTCATCTATATTTTTTTAAATGAATTAAATTATCAAAAGCGTTCTCGCCTGGTGGTGAAATCTGAGCTCAGTTCAGACGGAAATCCGCAAGAATTACGTCACTTTTTATTCGACACGAAAGAGTGAGTGAGTTGGGTTTTACGCCGCTTTTAGCAATTTCCAGCAATATCACGGCGGAGGACACCAGAAATGGGCTTCACGCATTGTATACATGTCGGTAATCGAACCCGGGTCTGCGGCGTGACGAGCGAACGCTTGAACCACTAGGCTACCCCACCGTCCCTCACACGCAACAACGTTAGAGTGAGGCAGTACTATATACATCCGTACAATGAAACCCCGTTTATCCGGTATACTGTGAAATCTCCTAGATTAAGACATTCACAGATTAATCGAGGATGCCTCTTCTGATTATATTTCAACATTAATTGTTTCACTGTACGCCAAACTCTTGCAGCGTGGGACGTGTTCTGTAAACAGAGCCGTGTGGGTGTTATGTTACGCTAACGCGCTTTCATCTGTCTCTCTACCATGAGCTCCTGTTTCATCACCCATATTGATGATTGACAGTTTTTATACACAACTGTCTTTTTCAATGATCTGATAACTGAAAAATACTCGGTTCTTAGATTTAATAGTGAGTGAGTGGGTGAGTTGGGTTTAACGCCGCTTTTAACAGTATTCCAGTTATATCGCGGCGTGTCAGCTTAATGTGGGAGGAAAGCCCGAAGTGATGCAGGTCTCAGACGTTTACCACTTCGGTGAAACCCACGAGCACGGGTATGGTGCTGACAAACCTAGAAACATAATTGGGGCGAACCGGGATTCGAACCCACAATCATAGGTTTCTGGCGTGCCCAAGGGACGCAACTCTGCACAGCGAATCGCGGCGCCTTAGACGACTGGGCCACCCGTGCCCCCCTTAGATTTTATAAGATTAAAGACCCGTGAAGATTCCGGGGTAGAATAGGTCTTCAGCAACCCATGCTTGTCGTAAAAGGCGACTAACGGGATCGGGTGGTCAGGCTCGCTGACTTGGTTGATGCAAGTCATTGATCCCAATTGCGTTGATCAATGCTCATGATATTAATCACTGGATTGTCTGGTCCAGACTCGATTATTTACAGACCGCCGTCATATAGCTGGAATATTGCTGAGTGCGGCGTTTAACAAAACAAAACCAAACCTAATAAGATTAAGACATATTTGCGTTATGCAAAGCACTTTTAAATGCAAAGATTTATTTTCGACTAATTCAACTGCATACATTCGTATCAAGACAGGGGTCGGCAGTGAGTTGGGTACACACTTCGTAACCATGCTTGGAGTCGAACCAAAAAATTGACGAGGGAGCACTATATAAGACTTACGAATCTGAACGTAGAGATTGTATATAATGTATTTTGTTAATGAAAAGAGCTAACTGCCCATGCAAAGCAGCTGCTCAATTTTTTCTAGCGCGTCATATCAGGGGACAGAAATCACGCCAGTCTGAAAGTTGAACGGAATTTATGGCGTTCGCTGGTATTATACGATGCTTCAATGTCCGAGTTGAAAACGAGAAATATCGAAACTATTGATAAATGCAAGGCAAACGTACGTCAGTGCTATTTGTGTACATCTAAACGTCTATGTTGTTAGTGTATATATATGAACGCCAATGCTTTACGTGTACATATTAACGTCAGTAATTGATGTGTTCATGTCAACGTCAATGATTCAAGTAAACATTGATTAGTTGAGTTCATGAAAACATCAAACTTAAAAGGAACTCGAATGTCAGGCATATGTCAGAGAAACAAAACGGCAAATTGATAAACGTTAGAAAGCGAATTAAAAGTAAATCAGTGCATGAATATCATGGACCAGCGACACCGGGTGTTGTTAGACGGTTGACCTAGGTCAAGGCCCGTGAAGATCCGGGGTAGAATAGGTCTTCAGCAACCCATGCTTGCCGTAAAAGGGGACTACGCTTGTCGTAAAAGGCGACTAACGGGATCGGGTGGTCAGGCTCGCTTACTTGGTTGATGATTGTCATCGGTCCCAACTGCGTGCATCGATGCTCATGTTGTCAATCACTGGATTGTCTGGTCCAGACTCGATTATTTACAGACCGCCGTCATATAGCTCGAATATTGCTGAGTGAGGCGTTAAACAACAAACCAAACCAAACCAAAAACCGAAGTCGGCTTACGATAAGCATGGGACATGGGGACCCTTTCTGCCCCAGACTCCTCACAGGATCATATATATAAGAATGCCCTACCCTGTTACTTACACGCACATACTACGGGCACTGTCTGGTCCGCTCATGTCCATCAACTGAGACTGGAAGCAGCGCTGAAAGGCGTCAAGTTTACAGCCATCATTCCCCAGGGTGTATCGCACTGAAATAAAATTGACCTCAATGATGGATATTAATACGACTCGTTTTGATTAGGTTTTTCTTCCTTTTTTATTTATTGAAATTAAAATCCGCTTGTACGGATAAAATCACTTTCATGTGTACTGCTTCATAGAAAATATCCCGCTATCTGCTAATCAAAGATGACACATTCAGTTTACTAGCTATCATGATACACCTAACCAGCCTGAGGCATGTACCAGCCTGAAGCATGCCTATAGCCCTAAGGTGTTCGTCACGTTGTTGAGTTGACTTCAGACAATAAGTACAGTAAACTACGGTTATAACGAACACGCTTATAACGAACTGACGGATATAACGAACTTACTTTTTGGTCCTGCCTATTTGCTGTAGTTATGCTGTATATATGCTTATAACGAACTACGGTTATAACGAACTAAACATAGTAGTCCCTTTGAGTTCGTTATAACCGTACTTTACTGTAGATGGTAATGTGTGATTTAAACAGGTGTTCGATCGACTGTATTCACGATAACGACTGAATTTAGCTTTATAAGCATCATTTTCCATGACGCCCTCTACGTATCCTGAGTCGTAACGTGCAAATAAATGGTGCTTCATTTCATCAGGTGGGGAAGGGGCAAGACGTTGCTCTGAAACGTCGTTGCAAAGAATGAAAGCAGTTGTAATCCTCCACAAAGTGTCACGTAAATGTCCATTAAAGACTCGAAATGGAACTGATTTTATGACATGTGGCACCTTTCCTAGAGTGTGTGAATAAATCGATACTCTTCGTGGACATACATCTTAACAAGACATTGTGCTTAGCCCTGAGGCGTGGTGCCAAGTAAATATGTTGACAAGGTTCTCGATTTCGGACAAGGATTCTAAGAGCTCACGAGTTAGGCATAACTTTGTATTTTCTTTTGAAGCAAATACTTTATGTTCACATTTCTGCAACAATGGTTGTTTTCGACCTGCGTATTGGTGACTAGAAACATATGGTGCCAAGAAATACTTAATACAAGTTTGGTATGTCTGTAATGTCTGGGTTTGGTTTGAACTGTATATTTGATATTGGCCAGGCCACACATTATCTGCAAGATGTAAGGTAATGAGGTTTAATAATAATTTATTCAGGAAAACATAACTAAAATCTGTGACCTACAACTAAATACAATTTTAGTGGTAGCTTTCCGCACCGGATTTTTAATCGCATTACGCTCATCCGTTTGATTACCGTGTTTACAGCTTATACACATTATGATTCTTTATATCTCCATAGACCACCGACGGTGGTACAAGAGCATATATACAGCAGAGAGACAAATATAATATGTACATCGCGAAGGCTGTGTGCATGTAGATTAAGCATTCACAGTGCTAAATAAAAATTATACATATTTTTATAGACGTTTTAGCTCGTTTAGTTTGGTCGTTGAAAATAGGCCTTTTAATGAAAACATATTTGACCAAGTTAAATATCTGCTAGGAATACGTGAGAGTCATTTGTTATCAAATCTTGACAACGAAATATATAATGGAATTCATCAGCTATTGCCGGGGAGTTACAGAGTGAACAAGGACGTTGGTCTCTGGGTACATTATTCCAGCGGCCAGTCTCATATTTATCAACTAATGCCTTTTAGTAACAACATTGGATGAGGTAAAATGGGGTCGCGTCCAAGATTATTGAACTCATATAGCGACGTGTGTGCGTGGCTGATTTATAGTGCTAGCCCACTGAGATATCATGCCACAGTTTAACATGATTACCCCAGACCGAGCCGACCAGTCCTTGTTATGGCCCCTTTATGCCGAGCGTCAGACAGAGTAACAACAAGTACCATCTTTTTAACGTCTTATGGTATGACGCGGCCGTGAATCGAACCTCGGACGCTCTGCCACTAGATCACAGAGGCGGTCAGTAACAACTTTGAAAATGTCAGGATTAATCTCTGGCAGGAATTCATTGTATAGAATAGAACCGAGGACGGCAAGTGATTTATTGTTCTCAAACAGGATGTTAGTCATAAAGACCAGTTGTAGATTGTCAATATTTTAATCATTCAAAAATGTGACGTATGCAAAGTTGTTATTTTTGTGTGATAGACAGAAATAGACGAAACAGTATATGAATAGCGGTTAGAAATTCAAGATAGATAAACACGACACACAGGTCTACATAAAAGCGACAAAGCCCTTTCCTTAATCAAAAGAAATCTCGCAGAAAGCGAGTCGAGTGTGGGCTTCCGACAATATCATGAGCATGTGTTAAAGGTATAATTCTACCATGATTTTGGAATTCACTCGATTCTGATTGGACAATCAGAGGCAATTAAATCACAATAAACCCCTCTGATTGAAACAGCTGGTTTGACGGCCCCATCACCGCGGAAGCTAATATTCATAGGATAGTACTATTTTCAGTCATTGTCGGTAGGCATATTTAAATAATTATGTCTACAATTACAGGTTACAAAATGCACAGATGCGGTTACTACAATATTCAAAGGATGTGTGGCAATTCATTTCGCGCAGGAAACACGATAGAAATCTACAAAGGGAATGTATTTACGTTTTGGAGACAAGAGAGCTTTGAAATTTGGCGCTTTTCTATATATGACTGTGACGTCATATCTTTTGCGTCACAATGAGCGATATGACGTGTTAATGATGACGTGCGATATAGAGCGAAAGCCTTGCAAAGCTTGCTTTGTTTTCTTTTGGGATGCCTACCTCATGTTAGCTTACTAAGTTGCCGTGTTTATATGCTGTCAATGCCCCTCATATGTTCGAGTGAAGTACAGTAAAGTACGGTTATAACGAACTCAAAGGGACTACTAATTTTAGTTCGTTATAACCGTAGTTCGTTATAAGCATATATACAGCATAACTACAGCAAATAGGCGGGACCAAAAAGTAAGTTCGTTATATCCGTCAGTTCGTTATAAGCGTATTCGTTATAACCGTAGTTTACTGTATTACCCTGTAAACAAACTGCTGCACGTTCGGTTCCAAATTCAATTTAGCACGGTTAAATCTACAGGTAACCTAGCTCTACATTGAAAACACAGTATGTTTATCTCCTATATCAAATAAATAGTCATGACACCAAGAGTTTTTTCGAAAAAGTCAGCGTATCCTGCTCCGTGGTCTATACGGTCGCTCACATCAACATACATACATGGGTTGCTGGAAATGCATTTTATCCCGGACGTGTCCGGGGATGACATACAGACTAGGAATGAACATTTTGATCAATATCCCAACAGAAATCCGCTGAGTAAACATGTAAAAGATGTGAAAACGATGATGTAATTATCAATGTGTTCAGGAAATGTTGACGTCCCCATATATTTCAATGCATTCGAAAAGTGCATTAGCGGAGCAAATAATTTACAAAAGGGTTAGTGCACGGTTTAGATATGTTGAAATGTGAATTCCCAGCTGACGTTATATTTTAATCAATAAGGAAACACGCTCCAAATGAATCCTCTAACCGATTGATTTTGGATGTTTGTGCTATTTGTCCATGGGTATTCTGCAAAGATAAACAAAATGAGTTCCGTCACCTTTTCGCGAACACCTGGTATCATTTATTTGATAGTGATTCATATGCATATATTTCTTTTGAATATGGAAAGGGTTTTGTCGCTTTTTTAAATTATTATTATTATTATTATTATTATTATTATTATTATTATTATTATTATTATTATTTACAGATAAAAAATAAAAAAGGCAGCAAAGAGGGTTTGGCTGATCCTGGCACAGTTAGGCTGGTTAGGCTCATCATCAGCTCAGGGCCCTTGCCCCCTCTACACGCAGCCCAGACAACGAATGGGACTTCTCCCAGGAAGCGCTGCCTAGTCAAAGCCACCCAGAACTTTTCGGAGAATGTGAAGACTCCCCAACACTGCAGCCTTCTGCATTACCCAGATTGTCAGAAGGGCTGTATTCGTTGTAGCAAACCCGGGTACTCTCCCAATGTCAATCAACAGATTGGGAGGTACCAAGCCTAAGGCACCCAGAACAATGGGGAGTCGGACAACTTGGTACTTGGGATGCAAGAGTGACATTTCGAAAGCGAGGTCCGCATGTTTGCCATGTTTATCATCAATCTTGTCAATCACATTTGTGTCAAAAGGGACAGATATAATGATATAAATGATTTCATTGGATTTATCAAAAAGGACAAGATCAGGTTTGTTGGCCTGGATACGTCTGAGGCTGTAAATGGGCCTATTCCAAAGAATTTTCTCTATGTATCATTTTCCATGACGCCCTTTACATATTCCGGGTCGTACCATGGGTGGGCCTCTGTGTCAAAACCATAAGCATGGCGAAGACGGTAATAAAATGATCGAGCTACACCATCATGTCGTTTAAGATACTGTGTTTGGGCCAAAGCTTGGCATCCACTGACAGTGTGTTGGACAGTCTCATTAAATTCATTACATAATCTACATTTCATATTAACATTTTGATGCAAAATCACACATTGACGGTTTCGAGTGCGAAGTGACTGGTCCTGAGCAGCAAACAGAAAGCCTTCTGTTTCAATTTTCAGGCCGGACGACTTCATCAAAGCAAAGGTATCTGCCCAATCTTCCCAACACTGCATATAAACTCAGACGTATCCAGGCCAACAAACCTGATCTTGTCCTTTTTGATAATTCCAATGAAATCATTTATATCATTGAATTTTCTGTCCCCTTTGACACTAATGTGATTAACAGGATTGAGGAAAAACATGGCAAATATGCGGACCTCGCTTTCGAAATATCACACTTGCATCCCAAGTACCAAGTTGTCCGACTCCCCATTGTCCTCGGTGTCTTAGGTTTAGTACCTCCCAATCTGTTGACTGACTTTGAGAGAGTACCCGGGTTTGCTACCAGGAATACAGCCCTTCTGACAATCTGGGTAATGCAGAAGGCTGCAGTGTTGGGGAGTCTTAACATTCTCCGAAAAGTTCTGGGTGGCTTTGACTAGGCAACACTCCCTGGGAGAAGTCCCATTCGCTGTCTGGGCTGCGTGTGGAGGGGGCAAGGGCCCTGAGCTGACGATGAGCCTAACCATCCTGACTGTGCCAGGATCACCCAAACCCTCTTTGCTGCTTTTTATTTTAATCCGTAAATAATAATAAATATTGTAAGTATACAACTAGCACCATATGTAAGCACCCTTGTCAACAAGCCTCAGCCTCTAACAATCGTGTGGCCTATACAAGCACCCCTGACTACAACTAGCACCATATATAAGCACCTCTGTCAACTAGCCTCAACCTTTAACAATTATGTAGCCTATACAAGCACCCCTGACTACAACTAGCACCATATATAAGCACCTCTGTCAACTAGCCTCAACCTTTAACAATTATGTAGCCTATACAAGCACTCCTGACTACAACTAGCACCGGATACATGCACCCCTGTCAACAATTGCCTCTAACAATCTTGTAGCCTATACAAACACCCCTGTCAACTATTGCCTCTAACAATCTTGTAGCCTTTACAAGCGCCCCTGTCTACAACTGTCAGCCCGAACAAATATCTCCTTCAACAAACGTTAGTTTGTCAAAATATTCCTGCTAACAAATATGGTGGAAATATTGTAGAAATATCCCTGCCAAAAGGTCTTTGCCTGTGCAGTATCATTGCCTTCAAACATAAACGTATATCGACATCACTTACTGCAACACTTCACATGTACAAATAGCCCTACTTATAACCCTTAGCCGGTATAAATATCACTGACTACAAGCCATGGCCTCAACAAATGTCATTGTCTACAACTAGAATTACATACAGCTTTTACAGCAACCGTTTGCGTGTACAAATTACACTGCTAACAGCCATTTATAACATTTTGTCAGACACCCCATGGCCAGTAAACAGCCACATCAGTTGTCTGTAGACGGTGTTGATTTCTATTCAAGGCTATGCGCATGCATCCGAAACTTTTTGAGAAAGGTAAGGGGATAGAGAGAGGGCTGAGGACAGGGTTGACCCAGTCGTCAAAGGCGCCTCTATTTGCCTTTCAGAGTTGCGTCCCTTGTGCCTGCCAGGAACCTAGAATCGTTGGTCAGACTCTTAGGTTCGACCTGTTTATGTTTGTCACAATCATACCATTGATCATAGATTTTAACAATGTGGCAAGTATCCAAAAACTTCTCCATTCTCACAACAAGCTGCCACGCCGCGATGAAACTCACATACTGTTTAAAGTGGCGTTAAACAAACTCACCCAGTCACTCACTCTAGATAAACATGGACCACACCCATACTTAGGAGCTACATAGCATCTTCCGGGTCAGTATATTAAGGCGATGTAACAATATGTATGATGTATGTTCCAGCGGAACATGTAGTGATACCAGATACGGCTTCAGCAATTTAATTCCTTGAATGTCGACCCATCACTTACAGTAAACTACGGTTATAACGAACTCAAAGGGACTACTAATTTTAGTTCGTTATAACCGTAATTCGTTTTAAGCATATATACAGCATAACTACAGCATATAGTCGGGACAAAAAAGTTAGTTTGTTATATCCGTTAGTTCGTTATAAGCGTGTTCGTTATAACCGTAGTTTACTGTATATTGAAAATAAAAAGCGACAAGAAAACAGTTTCATAGACGTAAGAAATCTTTACTATAAAGAAGTGTCCTTTGTACGATTGTACGATTGTACTGTGTGAGATTCCGACAAGCATGTGTTTTTGAGTGTCCCAAAAGTGTTATCGACCACTGACAGTTGTGGATGAAGCACTGATTACATTTAAACCCAGCAAACTCTACATCTTCTATACACGTCCGTGGCATGAGGCAACCGCGCGTGAACCACTCATTGTATTTAATTAGTCGTCATCCCGTCAGATGGCAGCACTTGACTTCGCTGGCCAAATCTCGAGTGCCTGGACCATACATTAAATGCTCTATGGCTATATGTAACATAATGCCTCGACCGTAGAAATACTATATCAACTCTCAGAAACCACGACCCTGATTTTTTAAATTAAATTATGAAGTGTGAGCTACTTACCTGGATGCAGTTTAAGACAATTCGTACGGAAACACATCGTAGCAGTAGCCGTGAGAAAATTGAACTGAGGTCAGTTTTAAAAGGCGTCATTCTCGTGTTTCTTATGTTCCTTTAAATGGTTTACTGTAGAGGTGACGGAAACAATTAGATGCATGCCGTTTGTAATGGGGGAAACCACACAAGAGGTGCACGAGATCCCGCGAGACGGAAGTCAGGCGATCAAATATGCCCGCAGCATAGAATAATACATCGATAACGGTAATATTACAGCAATTAGACCAATTATTTAGATTCATGTACACACATTCTTTTGCAACATGACACGACCTTGCAATGGGACTTGTTCAGTTTTTTCTTCATTCATTGTGTGATATGGCTAAGGTAGGTGAGTTAGTGGATGTTAAACTTGTTTGTTAAATCTACTGCGATACCTCTGGCCGTGTGTGTGTGTGTGTGTGTGTGTGTGTGTGTGTGTGTGTGTGTGTGTGTGTGTGTGTGTGTGTGTGTGTGTGTGTGTGTGTGTCTATGTGTTTACTCAACCCTACACAGCAAGGTGTGGTTTCATATGGGATGGGTACCCGATATGTGACGTGGATGTAAAAACCTTCTAGCGCCCCTGGACAGCTTGGGTGGTACAATCCCCAAGGAGTTGAGAATGACAACTTGAATGCAAACGGATCCACTGGTCGGGGATCAAATGAAACTAGTACCTGAATACCTGGGGTATATAGGTGTATAGTTAAAATTTAAATTAAAACACATATACGTCCGCACATATCTACCAACACATATTTCAATAATTCACTACAACTATATACTCTAGCTCATATAGTTCATTACAAAGCATTTTTTCCGGTCAAAAATAAACTTACTATAAATAGGTTTATGATAAAATGTAGATTTCCGTTAATATTGCTGAAAAGCTCAAAAGCGTAGTTCATGGTGTACGTGTTGACCTTTACGTTAGTATAATGAAACAAAAACTACGTTTATGTATCACTGTGTCATATTCAAATGTAGATGTTTACATACAGTGTATGCCGATCTATTTGAAAGAAAGGATCTATGTTTCACTTTCACGCAAACAATCCTGGGGGTCCCAGATGTAAGAAAACCCGGCAATTTACACACATGAAAGACTTCCCATGGATTCGCTGTTGGAGTAGGACATTCTGAATAACATGGCGTATGCATTCACAGCTGTAGTACATATCTGTCTGATGCCAACGTAAGATGAGGTTCAAGATTACCACATCACTCGCCATCACCCGTAACCCTAGAGCGGCATGGAAACGTGTTGATAAGCCGGTATGTGCATTACGTTCAGAATTCAATGGACTTTAACCGCTTTTCATAACTTTTTCTTTGGCTTTGGACTGAAGGCGCCCACGGGAGTGTTTGATCGACACTGAGTTACTGTTAGAGAAATGTAAAGTCATTCCTCATACATCAAAACATCATACGAGGGTTGCCGCTGGAGGAACGTGTTTGTAAAACGCTGAGACTGGGGGTCCGTGAGTTTGTGTGTTATATTCGAATTTTCAAATAGAATTAATAAAACATATTATGACAGTATGTTCATCATAGATTAAATGATTTCTCTGTTCTCTCATCTACTGCGTGGTGTAAAGTCAAGTCAAAGTGACCGTTCGTCACTCCGTGGGTTCGATTCCCAGTATTGGTCTATATGTAGGAAATAGATTCCGCGCAGTTAACGTGATGGGCAAAAGGCGGCGAGGAACGATAATTCATTTCCTAAATTTAAGGACAAAAAGAATTAAAGGGATTGTAAAATTCAACTTACCGCATATCCATAAAAGAATTCCTGAAATCTCAATTAGATTCATCTTTGAACAAGATTCGACAAGAACTAATAAAGCTGGGCAACTCCAAGTTACGTGGTGTGTGTTTTGACACAAGCTTTTCTATGCGAACCAAGCCTCTCTCAAATTGCCGGTGTAGTTTCCTTCCGACTGGGCGCCAAAAGTGCCCACGTGGCTTAATTGTATTGAGTCAACGCGTGAAAGCGCTTGATATTCCGCCGATATAAAAACGTTGAGGAGTGATGTAAACGTGTGAAATATAATCTTTATAACACCATGTCCTGCCTCCAGAACGACGGCCTTCTTTGACGGCCTACACTGGCACAACTTGAAGATCTGTTTCACTGATAAGTCGAACGGGCGATTCTCTTCATGTGAACGTTCGTGATTGTGTAGTTGCCATGCAATGCATGTGGAGAACGAGAAGTACTTCTAATCGTTTCCAATAATTTCGTCGTAGGTGTCCGAATGTTGCACATATGCACCCTGGGAAAGTCAAAACTCTTTGATATCATAAAAAACCGTGAATACAAGATGAGGAATTTATGGATGCATGATGCAGTGGCGAAACATGAGGAAGCACACTTGTTCGTCTTTGATGCCTCAACATCTGAAACAATATTCCTCTATAATCGTAAAACTTTTTCCACTGCGGTGCTGGAGTAGACTGCCCCGGCCAGTGTTTGCGGTACAAGACTCAAGGGCTAACTGACAGATGCTGTTTGCGATGGCTAGCACGATTCGGCTCCACCACGTTCCGTGGGTAATGTCACGCTCGCATCCTTATGACTTGATAGCTGTATGGAAGAAATAAACACATTCACCGAAATTCCTTTCCACGAGTAACATATATCAGCGCGTGTTTGTGTAAGGATGCTTCAACTTGAGGAGCATGCGCAGCCCAAAGGAAACATCGATATATGTTTAGTTAAGAAACTATGTTGCTTGGCTATATATCATTGTTCTTGTATTATCAATTTCAACAAAACAAGGCATTCTGATTCTGCATAAGTCTTTACATTGCGAGTTTTATCCATTAACACACTTAACTCTGCACTGTGAGTTAAAATGAACGCCCATGTCGGAAGCACAATCCGTCAAAACAAGCGTTGTTCCTGGTCTTTCGACGTCTTACCATGTAACATCCATATTCGTTGTCATGGACAGATCACTACTACTACTACTACTACTACTACTACTATTACTACTACTACTACTACGACGACGACGACGACAACGACTACTACTAATGCTAATAAAATAATGATAAAAATATCAAAAATAAAAATGATAACGGAGGGTATTTTTTACGGATCAGCGTTAATTCCATTATCTTTCTCATCATCCTTTGGAGTACACGACCTTCTCAACACCTTAACATTCTATCTGGTGCCAGTTCGTTGTTTTGTGCACAGAGGCCAATCTCGAAGCCACTTGCCTAAAGGGACACATGTAGCATGTGTTTCTGACCCTGATCTGATTCCCACCAAGATGGAAGCTACAAATCCATTAACATCTTTTCTCGCGGACACTTTATACCCATCTGTTTCTTTATGCATAGGAGGACACTTTATACCCATCTGTTTCTTTATGCATAGGAGGACACTTTATACACATCTGTTTCTTTATGCATACGAGGACACTTTATACCCATCTGTTTCTTTATGCATAGGAGGACACTTTATACCAATCTGTTTCTTTATGCACAGGAGGACACTTTATACCTATCTGTTTCTTTAAGCATAGGAGGACACTTTATACCCATCTGTTTCTCTATGCATAGGACACTTTATACCCATCTGTTTCTTTATGCATAGGACACTTTATACCCATCTGTTTCTTTAAGCATAGGGGGACACTTTATACCCATCTGTTTCTCTATGCATAGGACACTTTATACCAATCTGTTTCTCTATGCATAGGACACTTTATACCCATCTGTTTCTTTATGCACAGGAGGATACTTTATACCCATCTGTTTCTTTATGCACAGGAGGACACTTTATACCCATCTGTTTCTTTATGCACAGGAGGATACTTTATACCCATCTGTTTCTTTATGCACAGGAGGACACTTTATACCCATCTGTTTCTTTATGCACAGGAGGACACTTTATACCCATCTGTTTCTTTATGCATAGGAGGACACTTTATACCCATCTGTTTCTTTTACCACACAGGACACTTTATACCCATCTGTTTCTTTATGCACAGGAGGATACTTTATACCCATCTGTTTCTTTAAGCATAGGAGGACACTTGATACCCATCTGTTTCTTTATGCACAGGAGGACACTTTATACCCATCTGTTTCTTTAAGCATAGGAGGACACTTTATACCCATCTGTTTCTTTATGCATTGGAGGACACTTTATACCCATCTGTTTCTTTATGCACAGGATACTTTATACCCATCTGTTTCTTTATGCACAGGAGGACACTTTATACCCATCTGTTTCTTTATGCATAGGAGGACACTTTATACCCATCTGTTTCTTTATGCATTGGAGGACACTTTATACCCATCTGTTTCTTTATGCACAGGATACTTTATACCCATCTGTTTCTTTATGCACAGGAGGACACTTTATACCCATCTGTTTCTTTATGCACAGGAGGACACTTTATACCCATCTGTTTCTTTATGCACAGGATACTTTATACCCATCTGTTTCTTTATGCACAGGAGGACACTTTATACCCATCTGTTTCTTTATGCACAGGAGGATACTGTATACCCATCTGTTTCTTTATGCAAAGGAGGACACTTTATACCCATCTGTTTCTTTATGCATAGGAGGACACTTTATACCCATCTGTTTCTTTATGCATAGGACACTTTATACCCATCTGTTTCTTTATGCATAGGAGGACACTTTATACCCATCTGTTTCTTTATGCATAGGAGGACACTTTATACCCATCTGTTTCTATATGCATAGGACACTTTATACCCATCTGTTTCTTTATGCATAGGAGGACACTTTATACCCATTTGTTTCTTTATGCATAGGACACTTTATACCCATCTGTTTCTCTATGCACGGGACACTTTATACCCATCTGTTTCTTAATGCACAGGAGGACACTTTATATCCTTCTGTTTCTTTATGCATAGGAGGACACTTTATACCCATCTGTTTCTTTAAGCATGGACACTTTATACCCATCTGTTTCTTTATGCATAGGAATCGGAATTTCCGTTCGGATTGCCAAATTTGAAAAAAACGTGACTTTAGCCAAGAAGTTTGACTTAGATTTCAGTAAAGGTCAAATAACCCGCTACCACCCAATGATTAGACCAGTGAAACCCGCCCAGCTCTTCTGTTTCATATTGAGATCTCTGCATAAATATTCAGAATGGCTATAATGTGTCCACAAGACTGTTGATGTTTAAACAGGGGTTAAAGGGGTCAAAGCCTTAGTATAGCTTCCAAACATCTTCATGGCAGACATGTGTCGCACATTTCCAAATATGACGCACCGATGTAATTCCCTATTTTGACTTGTTCCCCTATTTTCCAGGTGAACACTTGACTTGTCTTGTCATGTGTTTGTGACGGCGTGGCAGGATACGCTTACCTTTACGTGAAGACATATTAGCATAACTACCATTATTGATTCATAAACACTTGATTATGATATCCTCTGCACGTCCAAACCGTTTTCAAACCGAATTTCCGACCATAATGCACGAGGAATTGATCGCGTGACCCATTTGGGGAAACAGACCATGTGTGAGGGATACATGTGGAAATATATGTGCATTCGACAGTATCACTAAGATATATGAAAACCGCCAAAATAATGACATTATAGCCAATTGAAGTTGTGAAAAAATCACTGTACGAGTAACTGTCTATCAGCAACCCCTTTACTTCAATGTTGGAAACCCCTAACAATGTAGTATCTTCGGAAAGAGCAGGCCCTGGGACGTTATCTCGACCAAGACAAGAATGGCCAGGGAAAATATGTGACAAACATTTCAACAAAAGTCCACGTTCATACACCGAAGAGTGCGCGAAACGTTTCCCGAATTTCAAACACATTCTGGAAATCCTTACGGTTTTTACTTCTGTGACTGTATTCTAAAAACTAGTGGTTTGACTTCTTTCTTACGATGACGCTAAGGATACAGTTGGAATCGTTTAGCAGATTTTGTTTTATGCAGATATTCTTATACCAATGGAAAGGGTTTCGTAACTTTTTTCTTTATAAAATAACTGACCGCCTCCGTGTTCCTGTGGTAGAGCGTCTGCCCGGAGAGCGGAAGGTCCGGGGTTCGATCCCCGGCCGCGTCATACCAAAAGACGTTAAAAGATGGTACTTGTTGTTACCCTGTCTGGCGCTCGGCATTAAGGGGCTAAAACAAGGACTGGTCGGCTCGGAGTCAGTATACTGTGTCTGAGTGGGGTATTCATGTTAAACTGCGGCGTGGTATCTCAGTGAGCTAGCACTATAAATCGGCATTAGTCCGGACTAGAACAAGCAGCCACACAAACACATACTCGTGCATGCACGTCGCTATATAAGTGTAATAATCTTGGACGCGACGTTAAACCCAATTTCACCTCACCTCACCTTTATATAACTACGGAACCCATGAATCACTCGAGCGTGATGCTTGCCGAGGAGTGTCACCCACCCACACGTCTCCGCCACCAGCGCAGCTTAACTTCACATGCGCCGGTGATTGTCCCTACATATACATGTGAATAAAGCGAAAAAACCCTTTCCATATCCGATAGAAATCTCTGCATATTAAAGCAGAGTCTTTAATACGATTCCGACTATATCACAAGCATGTGTTTAGGAATCACTATCAAAGGTGTTCGCGAAAATGTGAGCGTATCCTGCCCCATCGGTGGCATCCGTCGCAAACACATGCAAAGGCAAGTCAATTGTTCACCTGAAAATACACGAGAACATATGGTGCCAGTAAAAATAGGGAATTGCATCAGACATCATTTTTGTCACTGATGTGTCAAATTTGGAAATATCCTCCACGTGTCTACCATAATGATTTTGAAAGCTTTACTGGGGCCTTGAATGTTGTAACCTTGAATGTTCAAACATCTTCTGGGCATCGTCTTACACAGTCACGCAGTCATCCCTGTATGTCATACAACAAAACAAATGTCAACAACACTCTGAACACAACGACCATTTTATTATAAAGGAACTTTACGATATTTTTTTCCAAATTTTACATGTACATTCAAAAAAGAAATTACTTACAAACATTAACTATAATTGATATTTAACACACACATACATTGTATGGCATACACGATGTAAAATAGACAAACACAATACATCTATAGACAATATGCAACTTGATATATCATAAAGTGATATTTTACTCAACAAATTGAAAGCACGTATAGACAGGAATGAGTATTTTAGTATTAAGGGCGAATGGTTTCGTTCTAAAAATGTTGAATCATATCTATACTTTAGGAAATGAAAATATTACACCTCGACGAATCGAACAAATTCATGAGCTATCTTGCATAGAAATCCCTCATCTCCGTATAACATTCTGCAGAAAAGTTTAATAAAATTTTTACTTTTTAATCCATCTTAGTCAATAAATCTGTTTGTCCTTCACATTAAGCATAATCTTCTTTCACAGCTGGACCACTTCAAATGTCACTACGTGTGTTATATGGTCAGTGTCTTTATAACATTATTTATAATATTTCTTTTACAAAGTAGTACAAAAGAACAAGGTTTACCTTTCTTGTGTTGATTAACGTAACTATAACTCAACATTAACATAAACGTATCATAACAAGAATGAGCTGGCACAAATGTTAAATACGGTCAGCTTAACACGTCTAAAACCGTTTTCAGCAGCCCATTAATGAACAAGACACATACATATTTATCGCTAAAGGTTTATTGTGTTTGTTCACGACCTTAAATAATGTTGATTTTAATGCCATTTCAATCCAAACTCATTTACACATATACACTGCCGGGCAAATGAAAGCATACACTCATGTTTCATGGTGGAAGAAACAAAAATGTTTTTTCGATGGTGATATATTTGATATTTGTTTTGTCAAAGGCATTCATGCATCATATCAATTGGAATGTCACACCTTGCCAGCCTAATAGCGTTGTCATAACGTTTGTAATGATTTGGTAAATTTTTCAAGTGTATACTTTCTTTTGTCCGGCAGTGTACAATACTTGACTTGACTTAGTTTTCCCAAACCTCCATGTACCTTTTGGAAATATATACACATGATATTGATAAAAAAATTGAGATTCCAGTTTTGCCTAAATAAAATGGTGCACTTCGCAAGTACTGCGTCATGGTACAAAAAGCCGAGGAAGCAACACACTATGACATTTATTGAAACGACTTTTTTATCGGTGTCGGAATTTTGAGCAGTTTCTCACAAACATACATGTGCTTCGATAGACATTTGATTCAAGATATGTTTTATTTTTAAAAAATGGTTATCCAAAATTGACAATGCTTGTCAAGGCGTACACCTCACCAATCTGTTCGCTTATGAAATTTGTCATTTCACAGTATATCTCGTTTCTCGTAACGACAAGAGGTGTGCTAATGTGTCGTTGAAGCACCAACGTTGTTCTGATAAGCACCCCTGTGTGATCTAACTGGAATTACATATTGTACATTAATAATATTGAAATAGTACGAAGCATTAAACCCTAACAGAAGCATACACACGTGAACTGCTTTAAAGTGTGTCCATGTGTAATGCGCCAAATTCCATTTACCAGGTGAATCAATGTGCATTCTCAGCTCCCTGGGGATTATCCAACTCTTGCCTGCGGTGTCACCACGATCGTCACGTATGCTCCATTGTGGGGCCGGACCGAAGACCTACAATCTTTCAGGAGTCAAGGTCCCGAACACGGTCACCCATCCAGCTACTCTCCGCCACCAACGTTTTCTTCACCAGATATGTGCCCCCCACAATTAGGTGATTATGCACGGTGAACATATAATACGTGTAAGCATCTCAGATTTCAAATCGTCATGTGGAAAGTAACGCCCTTGTGTACAATTCGACATCAATACATGTATTACATAACATTGTCATCTGTTTTTACGTTAGATGATTCTATGAGGTATGTTTTATTTCAAATAAATTTTATGTTTGGTTGGTTGGTTGGTTTGTTGTTTAACGCCGCACTCAGCAATATTCCAGCTATATGACGGCGGTCTGTAAATAATCGATTAATATCATGAGCATCGATCCACGCAATTGGGATCGATGACATGCATCAACCAAGTCAGCGAACCTGACCACCCGATCCCATTAGTCGCCTTTTACGACAAGCATAGTCACCTTTTACGGCAAGCATGCAGTTTCATGTCGTTTCTGGTGGCCTTATGTAGATTCTTAAGGATAATACTTTGTTCAATCTGAATATACTGGGCAGTTATTGTTATTGTAGTTACTGGATTCTTCCTGTAGTTATCATGACCATTAAACTACACTATCATACTCTGATTGCTCAAGCTCAGAATGGTTTCAGAGGCATTGGGCGCAGTCCAATACTGGAGGACTTCGACAACAGTACTACAACTGAAGAGGATGCTGCTCCAGGAGATGCTGCTCCAGTAGAAATCAAATCGGAATAAACGAATTTGCAATAGATGTTGTAGATGTAAATCTGAGGGGGGGGGGGGGGGGGGGATAAACGAATCATGGTTACACTGAGTAACTCCCCTTTGTATGTGAAGACGTCCTCAACGTGATGACGTTGTCACGCGCTGAGATGGGTCTTGTGTAGACTTTTCCAACAACCTACTGTCACAAGGCAGACCACGGACCAGATAAACGAGGTTTTACTGTGTATGACACCCGGGAAAACATTCATTAGCACGAATAATTAGAAACATCCGTATTATCAATATATCTTAAAAAGGAATTACAAACATTTAACAACTTATATTTTACATATATATATATATAATATCCAAAGCAAGTTCAGACCATGCTTGTAAGAGTATTTTTCGGGTTCTACGTATAGAAAGATATTCTCATTACCTGACTGAGTTGAGGCCTTTTAAGAAAAAGGCCTTAATTTCAAAAGTAGTATAATGTTATATTAATATATTACACAACAGATGTCAAAGATGTTAACGGAATGCATCGTAAAAATTCGTGGATTTTAACATGCCTGTTTAAAACTATTCCGACATACACTTACAAAACATGGCATTTCTAGTTTTATTTACACCATTGACCGAAGGCACATGAATACACTAACGACCAGTGTTACAGTGGCTGGGAGGGACAAGGCGGCGGTGTTCGTGTCGTTGATGGTCTTGTAGCTAGTTTTGTTTTCTGCGGGATGGCAGACTGGAGGGAGAAACTTGTGCACGACGTCATCCATGATTCTCTCGAGCTTCTGCGGGCAGTGCTTCAACAGAGTCTTGTCAAAACATGTCATCAGGTTCTCGGACAGTCTGCAATGGAGGCGATTGGTTTTTATAAATTGGTTTACAGATCCGCCGACCCTGGATTTAACAGGGGGGGTATAAATAACTTGACACATTTCTTATTACCGCCGAGTGAAACATCAAAGTATCTGCCCCCCCAAAAAAAACAACAAAAAAACAACAAACAAACAAACAACAAAACAAGCTGATTGAGTTTAGAGAAGATCTAAAGATAGATTTAGATCCACATTGGTTTCCGCAAGCGACGCCACGATAAAAACGCGAAGCATTGCTAATCACTTCAATTAGAATAGGCCTTCAGCAACAAATGCTTGCCGTAAGAGTCGACTGTGCTTGTCGTAAAAGGCGACTATGCTTGTCGTAAAAGGCGACTATGCTTGTCGTAAAAGGCGACTAACGGGATCGGGTGGCCAGGCTCGCTGACTTGGTTGATGCATGTCATCGTATCCCAACTGCGTAGATCGATGTTCATGATGTCGATCACTGAATTGTCTGGTCCAGACTCGATCTTTTACAAACCGCCATCATATAGCTGGAATATTGTTGAGTGCGGCGTTAAGCAACAAACAAACAATCAAACCCAAACATATGGGGAATCGATGTCAGACGTTCGACATGACGAGAGAACGCCATTACCACCAGGCTTCCCCATCGCCTCTGAGTGTGTATGCAGACACTATTGTAGGTTCAGTTAAAGTCTCTTCCAAAATATTTGTTTCATTGGATGTAGGTATTCCTCCGTGATTTGTTCCACAGGCGGTGTGTGTGTGTAGGGGGTTGGTGGTGGGGTGGGGTTTGGGGGATGGTAGTGTATCTGTATGTGTGGTGTGGGGGTGGGGTGGGTGGGGGGTGGGGGGTGTATGTGTGTGTGTGTGTAATGGGGGAGGGAATGGTAGTGTGTCTGTATGTGTGGTGAGTGGGGATGGGGGGGGGGGGGGGGGGGGGTGTATGTGTGGGGGTGTAGTGGGGGAGGGGATGTTGTGTATCTGTATGTGTGGTGTGGGGGTGGGGGGGGTGTATGTGTGTGTGTGTGTGTGTAATGGGGGAGGGAATGGTAGTGTTTCTGTATGTGTGGTGAGTGGGGATGGGGGGGGGGGGGGGGTGTATGTGTGGGGATGTAGTGGGGGAGGGGATGTTGTGTATCTGTATGTGTGGTGTGGGGGTGGGGGGGAGTGTATGTGTGTGTGTGTAATGGGGGAGGGAATGGTAGTGTATCTGTATGTGTGGTGAGTGGGGGGGGGGGGGGTGTATGTGTGGAGATGTAGTGGGGGAGGGAATGGTAGTGTATCTGTATGTGTGGTGAGTGTGTGTGTGGGGGGGGAGTGTATGTGGGGGGTGTAGTGGGGGAGGGGATGGTAGTGTATCTGTATGTGTGGTGTGGGGGTGGGGGGGGAGTGTATGTGTGTGTGTGTAGTGGGGGTGGGGATGGTAGTGTGTCTGTATGTGTGGTGAGTGTGTGTGTGTGTGGGGGGGGGGGGTGTATGTGGGGGGGGTGTAGTGGGGGAGGGGATGGTAGTGTATCTGTATGTGTGGGGTGGGGGTGGGGGTGGGAGTATATGTGTGTGTGTGTGTGTAATGGGGGAGGGAATGGTAGTGTATCTGTATGTGTGGTGAGTGTGTGTGTGTGTGTGTGGGGGGAGTGTATGTGGGGGGGGTGTAGTGGGGGAGGGGATGGTAGTGTATCTGTATGTGTGGGGTGGGGTGGGGGGGGGAGTATATGTGTGTGTGTGTAGCGGGGGAGGGGATGGTAGTACTGTATCTGTACGTGTGGTGTGTGTGTGTGTGTGTGTGTGTGGTGGGGGAGGGGGCAGAAGTGGGATGGGGGAGGGGGGGAGATTGTGTTGCGGATTGTGGGGAGAGTTGTTGGCGAGGTATTTTGGGACAGGTAGGATATATTTTCCTTCACTAGTTGAAGTGTTCGGCCACCATCCTTCTTATCCCTTGCACATTTGTATCAAACCAGACGAAGATTGATAAAACCACCCATCAATTTTGCCACTTCTTACGACAAGCATTGGCATTGGGCCAAGTTTAACATGGGACCCTGTTATGTATACAGAAGGGTAACACATACTGGCCGGTGACGAAACGTCGCTCCTAATTGTAATAAAGAAGTTCATCTAATATCTTAACCTTACTTTCTACTCCAACTTCTAAATGCCTATCAAAGAAGTTACACCCTGTATGGTATTGCTTCAAGTTTGTTTGTTGTTTAAAATAGAAAATTAATCAGTGGATGCACTGTACAAGAAAGGGTCAAGAGAAACTGTGTGCTGAGTGAGTTTGGTTTTTCATCGAGTCGGCGAGCATCCAGCCGTCTGGGGCACAATGGTCTGCAATCAAACGCCTTTGCTGTATGCCAGGAAGGGAGGCAACAAAAAGGGAGAGAACTCTGGACTCCTTCATGAGGTTGAATCTATTTTTAGCACGTTTCAGCGGCGATACTGCTGTGGTTCACACTTCCCGTGTTCAGCACACATGCACTAACTCTCCTCGCGCCGGCCGGGAAGAGAAGGAAGGAAGATGCAGTGACAGAACAGGCGTGGGTAGTTGGAAGTCGTGATGATGGGAGGGGCAGGTGACAAGAGCAGGGGCAGGAGACATGGTCAGGGGCGGGGAGAAAGGGGAAATAAGGAAAGAGAGGGACAATGGCAGGCGGCAAGAGGCCTGACTAGTGACGAGGGCAGGAGACGAGAGCATGGGCACACACCGGACGGTAGCTGATGATGAAGCAAGGGGCATGTTAAAGGACACGTGACGGTAACTGTTGATGAAGCAAGGGGCGTGTTAAAGGATACGTGACAGTAACTGTTGATGAAGCAAGGGGCGTGTTAAAGGACACGTGACGGTAACTGTTCATGGGGCAGGGACGTGTTATAAAACACGTGACGGTAACTGTTGGTGAAACAAGGGACGTGTTAAGGGACACGTGACAGTAACTGTTGATGGGGCAGGGACGTGTTATAAAACACGTGACGGTAATTGTTGGTGAAGCAAGGGGCGTGTTAAGGGATACGTGACGGTAACTGTTGATGAAGCAAGGGGCGTGTTAAAGGACACGTGACAGTAATTGTGGATGGGGCAGGGACGTGTTATTAAACACGTGACGGTAACTGTGGATGAAGCAAGGCGCGTGTTAAAGGACACGTGACGGTAACTGTTGATGAAACAAGGGGCGTGTTAAAGGACACGTGACGGTAACTTTGATGAAGCAAGGGGCATGTCAAAGGACACGTGATGGTAACTGTTGACGTAACAAGGTGCATGCTTAAAACACGTCACGGTAACTGTTGGTGAAGCAAGGGGCGTGTTAAGGGATACGTGAAGGTAACTGTTGATGAAGCAAGGGGCGTGTTAAAGGACACGTGACAGTAATTGTGGATTGGGCAGGGACGTGTTATAAAACACGTGACGGTAACTGTTGATGAAGCAAGGGGCGTGTTAAAGGACACGTGACGGTAACTGTTGATGAAACAAGGGGCGTGTTAAAGGACAAGTGACGGTAACTGTTGATGAAGCAAGGGGCATGTTAAAGGACACGTGATGGTAACATTTGACGTAACAAGGTGCATGTTTAAAACACGTGACGGTAACTGTTGGTGAAGCAAGGGGCGTGTTAAAGGACACGTGACAGTAATTGTGGTTGGGGCAGAGACGTGTTATAAAACACGTGACGGTAACTGTTGAAGAAGCAAGGGGCGTGTTAAAGGACACGTGACGGTAACTGTTGATGAAGCAAGGGGCGTGTTAAAGGACACGTGACGGTAACTGTTGATGGGGCAGGGACGTGTTATAAAACACGTGACGGTAACTGTTGATGAAGCAAGGGGCGTGTTAAAGGACACGTGACGGTAACTGTTGATGGGTCAGGGACGTGTTATAAAACACGTGACGGTAACTGTTGATGAAGCAAGGGACGTGTTAAAGGACACGTGACAGTAATTGTGGATGGGGCAGGGACGTGTTATAAAACACGTGACGGTAACTGTTGATGAAGCAAGGCGCGTGTTAAAGGACACGTGACGGTAACTGTTGATGAAGCAAGGGGCGTGTAAAAGGACACGTGACGGTAACTGTTGATGAAACAAGGGGCGTGTTAAAAGACACGTGACGGTAACTGTTGATGAAGCAAGGGGCATGTTAAAGGACACGTGATGGTAACTGTTGACGTAACAAGGTGCATGTTTAAAACACGTGACGGTAACTGTTGATGAAGCAAGGGGCGTGTTAAGGGATACGTGACGGTAACTGTTGATGAAGCAAGGGGCGTGTTAAAGGACACGTGACAGTAATTGTGGTTGGGGCAGAGACGTGTTATAAAACACGTGACGGTAACTGTTGATGAAGCAAGGGGCGTGTTAAAGGACACGTGACGGTAACTGTTGATGGGACAGGGACGTGTTATAAAACACGTGACGGTAACTGTTGGTGAAGCAAGGGGCATATTAATGAAGCAAGGGGCGTGTTAAGGGACACGTGACGGTAACTGTTAATGGGCAAGAGGCGTGTTTAAGGACACGTGACGGTAACTGTTGACGTAAAACGGTGCATGTTAAAAAACACGTGACGGTAACTGTTGAATCAAGAGGCGTGTTAAAGGACACCTGGCGGTAACTGTTATTGAGGCAGGGACGTGTTAAGGGACACGTGACAGTAACTGTTGATGAGGCAGGGGCGTGTTAAAGGACACTTGACGGTAACTGTTGACGTAACAAGGTGCATGTTTAAAACACGTGACAGTAACTGTTGATGAAACAAGGGGCGTGTTAAAGGACACGTGAAGGTAACTGTTGATGAAACAAGTGGCTTGTTAAAGCACACGTGACGGTAATTGTGGATGGGGCAGGGACGTGTTTTAAAAAACGTGACGGTAACTGTTGGTGAAGCAAGGGGCGTGTTCAAGGACACGTGACTGCAACTGTTTATTGGGGCGGGGACTCGTTATAAAACACGTGACGGTAACTGTTGGTGAAGCAAGGGGCACGTTAAAGGTCACTTGACGGTAACTGTTGATGAAACAAGAGGCGTGTTAAAGGACACATGACGGTAACTGTTGATTGGGCGGGGACGCGTTATAAAACACGTGACGGAAACTGTTGATGAAGCAAGGGGCACGTTAAAGGACACGTTACGGTAACTGTTGATGGGGCAGGGACGTGTTATAAAACACGTGACGGTAACTGTTGGTGAAGCAAGGGTCATGTTAAAGGACACGTGATGGTAACTGTTGATGAAGCAAGGGATGTGTTAAAGGACACGTGACGGTAACTGTTGCTGGGGCAGGGACGTGTTATAAAACACGTGACGGTAACTGTTGGTGAAGCAAGGGGCATATTAAAGGACACGTGACGGTAACTGTTGATTGGGCAGGGACGTGTTATAAAACACGTGACGGTAACTGTTGATGAAGCAAGGGGCATGTTAAAGGACACGTGACGGTAACTGTTGATGGGTCAGGGACGTGTTATCAAACACGTGACGGTAACTGTTGGTGAAGTAATGGACTTGTTAATGAAGCAAGTGGCGTGTTAAGGGACTCGTGACGGTAACTGTTGATGAGGCAAGAGACATGTTTAAGGACATGTGACGGTAACTGTTGAAACAAAAGGCGTGTTAAAGGACATGTGACGGTAACTGTTATTGAGGCAGGTACGTGTTGAGGGACACGTGACAGTAACTGTTGATGAGACAGGGGCGTGTTAAAGGACACGTGACGGTAACCGTTGATGAAGCAAGGGGCATGTTAAGGACACGTGGCGGTAATTGTTGAAGCAAGGGGCGTGTTAAAGGACACGTCACGGTAACTTATTGAGGCAGGGACGTGTTAAAGGACACGTGACGGTAACAATTCCTTATTCCGACTTTTGTCATATGTTGTATTTGTTTTCCCGTGCTTTAAGGTGAGGCTTGACATGCCTGTGCACGTGTTTGTAGCGGGGGATACCGGTGGGACTTTTCGCGAACACCTGGTATAATCACTATTTGCTATTGATATATAAACGCATGCTTATTAAATGAAGTCGGGATCGTACAATTGAGAGCTTTGGCAGTGAGTTCTTATGAGTACGGAAATGATTTTGTTTCGGTGTGGGACAGGACTGAATCCCTAGAATCCTATCCTTGTGGACATACATACCCGCAGATAAGCTTATACAACTCTCTCTGGTTAGTTTTGCCCTTCGATACGATATCCACTTGCTTCAGCCCTCTCTGTACTTGAGCTGCTCTCGTGAAGTTCTGTACACAAGTGTTCATCTCCTTCCTCGACTTCTTCATGCAGCTGGCGTTGTCCGCGAGGACTGAAATATACCGACAATCATGCTGAAGATGCTGAAGATGCGGAGGAGGAGGAGGAACATGTATACACGTGGGGATAAATGAGAGACTGACAGTTAATAATGTTGTGAGCTCTAAAACTTGACTGTACGGCAGCGACTATATATGAGCAATGTCGTTTTAGCAAGAAGTGTGGATTCAAAATTAATTCTTGTGAAGATTCAGTGACACAATTCAGCCCCTTAAGCCCAGTCAGTCATGATTGTCATCCTAGGTCCGTGAGCACCAAACTCGAGATAAGTAAGTGAGTGACTATGGTTTTTCGCCGCTTTTAGGGGCTTCACACATAGCGCCCATTTAGGGAATCGAACCCGAGTTTTCGGCGTGACGAGCGAAGGCTTTAACCACTTGACTACCCCACCTCCCCAACGTGATAAGTAGTAGACGTCTAGGACCTGCATCACTTCGGACTGGTACATGGAGTGTAAGGCAAAACGGCATTAAACCCAATTCACTCACTACTTATCAAGGGCAGCACACAGTCTCCATATCCAACAACAGATAGTAAGAACAGCAATGGAATGGAATAATAATATGTCCAGAAAAAAAGTGTCACCTTCATCTGGTCATAATATAATCAAAACACTGTATTTGATAAGAAAACTCAAACATTCTGTTCATAAAGTGTGCATTTTGTAACTGGTTTGTGATCGTTTGACATGGCGATTAATTAAAAGTAGTACCACATAAAGCTTTATTTCATTCGTCAAATATTGAAATGTGTATTTCAAAGAAAAACAATTTTTTATCACTTGATACATAATGTGATACATGATTTGTCTATGTATCATTATGAACACCCCAACTTTCATTTCGTGCTTTTGGACATGGCAGTCAAAGAGTCGTTGAAAGCATGACGCACATGCATTGCTTAAATTAATGCATGGTGTTTTCAATATAACACAATACAGCAAACGGACTCCAATCCCTTAATTAATTGAAAACTCTCTGTTTTAAAAAATAGAAATCGTTCGTATAACTTGCCGTTATTGCGAATGTAATGCCTGCCGTCCTATTTTCAAAACATTCTTTGTTTTCCTTTGAATTCAAGTTCATGAGCGAGAGAAATTATGTGATAAAAGAAATTATGTGATATAACCGTGGGGGGTAAACGAGAGGAGGGCTGCTGAAACGAGTCTGTGGCAGTTAATGTGACTGGGGATTATGTCATTATAGGATGGACATATGTACTGGACTATATAACATAAGCATAAATCAGTAAGACAACGGCTTCTATATACCGCTTAAAGATGCATGAGGAATTAGGTGTCTGCGTGTCGGTTTTGGGGTAGTGAGAGAAGACGTGACAGCTATCTCTAGTGGCAAAATGTACCAACATTTTTTGTTCTTGCACACTTCTTTCACTGCGGATCTCCAGGATTCCGGTTTGATGGGGAGGTCCTTCTCCTCCATCCCTGATTCTGTGCAGTCATTGTAGACAGTCTCCATACAGTCGATAGCCTTGTCTATCTCGCCTCCCCTGTTGAAAGTCATTGTTGCATGACATACAAACACAATAACACATGTGCGTTTGAAGGATAACGCCGATGGAGCAGGATACTCGCCTCGTCGCAAACAGAGAGAGGATGTTTTTGCTTAACGCCACACTCAGCAATATTCCAGCTTCATGGCGGCGGTCTATAAATAACAGAGTCTGGATCAGTCACGAGCATCGATCAACGCAATTGGTATACAATGACATTTATCAACGACGTCAGCGAGCCTTACCATCTCTTCCCGTTGGTTGCTTCTTACGACAAACATGGGTTGGTGAAAACAAGTTTTAACCCGGATAATCATGGAGGTTTCGCGAACACCTGGGCCCACTTGCACAAACCGATCTTAGCGCTAAGACTATCGTTAGCCTATGTTCAAGTATGGGAGCTACGATCATCTTAGCGCTAACATCGCTTTGTGCAAGTGGGCCCTGGTGTCATCACTGTTTTAGCAGAGATTTCATATGATTATGGAAAGCATTTTGTCGCTTTTAGTAAGTTTTCGCTTTCTAGATTATTTCACTTCAATAGCGACATGAGAGCACAAAATATGCCATTGTCGAGATAGCATGTCCTTGCTTTGCCAACAGTCAGTGTTTCAAGAAACTGAAAGATGTAGCGAATTATATGTAATACTATAGAATCTAAAGCACATTATTCTTCATATCATCTCAGGGAAAGTTTTTTTTCATGTCGGAAAACATCATGCCAATTTATTTTCTCAACTTACTCGCATAGCTTCGTGGTGGTTTCAGGGTCGGTGATAAACTTATGGCCCTGTGCCGACTGGATATTCACTGCAATATCCTGTGCGCACGACTTGATGATTTTGGTGTGATTAGTCGGACACTTCCCTGCGTATGCCAGACCTGCTGAAATAATAATGATAATATTAATCAAAATCATTATATGAGTACGGCTTGAGTCGCTTTTAGCAATATTCTACCAATTTCACGACGGAGGACATCAGAAATTTGTGTCGTTGTTCACAAATTGTGTCCATGTGGGGAATCGAAAATGGGCTCTGAGCGTGATGACAAACGCTTTAGGCACTAGGCTACCCCACCGCCCCAATAATTAAATGGTTATGGTAAAATATAATAACAATAATAGCACTTATTAGTGTAATAGTGATAATTTAAAAAAATAAAATCATTAATTTCATTATTTACGGGATCTCGTAATATGGCTAGAATATCGCTGGCTGTGACATTAAACTATGAACACACGATATCATCATATCCTACCGGTTACTAATCCAATGCTGAGTAAACAAAGGCGAATCGAGCAAAGTGATGTTCCTTGCTGAGTTCAATCACCCGTCAAGCTAGGTCAAGATAACTTGCCTAACTGTGCTACTTTATTTGTGAAGTCTGCGTTGTGCACAGGACCACATGCAATGGCTGACACATCAATGACATATGTCTGACACATCACTGATTCATCACTCGTACATCACTGACATACCGCTGACACATCACTGAAACATCGATGGCTCATCACTGAAACATCACTGGAACATCATTGAAACATCACTAGCACATCACTAAAAAAACACCAATCGCACATCACTGAAACATCACTAGCACATCACTGAAACATCACTGACACATCGATGGCTCATCACTTAAACATCAGTGGAACATCAATGAAACATCACTCGCACATCACTGAAACATCACTGACACATCGATGCCATAACACATCACTGGAACTCCACTGACACACCACTGAAACATCACTGACACACCACTGGAACATCACTGACACATAACTGGAACATCACTGAAACATATGACACATCGATATCATAACACTGACACAACATTATCACATCATTGATACACCACTGGCACACAACTGGAACATCACTGACACATCACTGAAACATCACTGACACATCACTGAAACATCACTGACATGAAAAACAGGGACTGCAGTTTTATAGTATTCACATTGTTCTTTTCAATAGACAGAATGTCAGCTCGTTAATGCTTCAACCATGCTTAGCCAGAGATGCCATGAGCTATATCACTGGAACATCACTGCCACATCAGTGCCACATCACTGAAACATCACTGCCACACCACTGAAACATCACTGACACATCACTAAAACATCACTGACACATCGATGCCATAACACTGACACAACATTATCACATCACTGAAACATCACTGACACACAACTAGAACATCAATGACACATCACTGAAACATCACTGACACATCACTGACGTATCGATGACACATCGCTGGCACATCACAGACACACCACTGAGGCATCACTGAAACATCACTGACACATCGATGACATAACACCGTAACATCCCTGACACATCACTGAAACATCTCTGACCCATCACTGACACACCACTGGAACATCACTAAAATATCACTGATACATCACTGGCACACTACTGGCACATCACTGGCACGTTACTGGAACATCACTGACACATCACTGACATTTCACTGGCACGTTACTGGAACATCACTGACACATCACTGACACATCACGTGCACATCACTGTAATATCACTGATACATCACTGACATATCAATGACATATCACGTGCACATCACTGAAATATCACTGATACATCACGTGCACATCACTGAAATATCACTGACACATCACTGACACATCACTGGCACACTACTGGAACATCACTGGCACATCACTGACACATCACTGAAATATCACTGCTACATCACTGCCACAAAACTGGAACATCACTCACACATCACTAAACCATCACTGACACATCACTCGAACATCACTGACATATCACTGAAACATCACTGACACATCACTTGAACATCACTGAAATATCACTGACACATCAATGCCATAGCACTGGCACAACATTATCACACCACTGAAACATCACTGCCACACCACTGGAACATCCCTGATACAACACTGGAACATCACTGACACATCTCTGGAACATCACTGACACATCACTGAAACATCATTGAAATATCACTGATACATCACTGGCACACAACTTGCACATCACTGACACATCACTGACACATCACTGACACAACACTGGCACACCACTGAAACATTATTGACGTATCACTGATACATCACTGGCAGACCACTGGAACACCACTGACACATCACTGAAATATCACTTGAACGTCGCTAAAAAACCCCTAACAAATCACTGGAACATCACTGAAATATCACTAATACATCACTGGCACACAACTGGAACATCACTGAAACATCACTGACACATCACTGAAACATCACTGACACACTACTGGAACATCACTGACACACTACTGGAACATCACTGACACATCACTGGAACATCACTGACACATCACTGAAATATCAATAGAACATCGCTAAAAAGATTACTGACAAATCACTGAAACATCACTGGAACATCACTGACATATCACTGAAACATCACTGCCACATAACAGCAACATTACTGACATGTAAAACAGGGACTGCAGTTTTATAGTGTTCAAATTGTCCTTTTCAATAGACAGAATGTCAGCTCGTTAATGCTTCAACCATGCTTAGCCAGAGATGCCATGAGCTAAATATATCATGGCAATACGGAAACATCTTCTGGTTCACCAACTACTAAGCCAGACACCTGCGAATACCGTAAGTAGATTTCGTGAATCATGGTGACGTAAGTCAAAAGTGGGTAGAGAAATAAAAAAGGGAAGATAATGAGTAGCTGTTTAGAATATGGCAAAAACAGCGTTGCTTCTTTAATGGGAATCGATTTTCATATCTACACAACGTTATGATTTGATGACTGTTATAATGACACCTGCAGAATCAACCCCTTGCATTGGTTTATACAACACAGAATCAATTCACTTTACACTAAAACGATTAATCGATTCAGCGACAAAAGACGTAATACAGAATGATGACTTTACCAACTTTGGTACATAAATGGAAAGAGATGGGTGATTTTCGTGCTTTCATCATGAAGTCCACTTCCAATCCTTCATTGGTATCTAGTGTTCCATAGTGTCCACGTTGCCCGTCTACACTTGTCTAAATGGTATCCTCCCAAAACACAGACCACCCATAATGCAGACCGCTCATGTTCACAGTGGTAATTGTCTGGTGCACAACTGATCTCTTGCCAGCTACTTGAAATTATTATGGGATGAGCCTCTCACAGAAAGACAAAAGTTTGAGCATTTAGAATTTATTTGTCATTTTCATAAAAAGCATTTGTCCATTAGTACACTGACTTGAAACCATAGTATGCATTCTGTAGAATTTTGAAAACAGATCACTGACAGTTTACAATTCAACCTAATTAAGTAAATGTTTCAAGAAGCTCAGCTAGTGTTCTGGCCACTACGTCTTTCCTTAGTAAACAATCGGTTTTTAGTATATTTGTATACTCTCTTCCTTGGATGAGGGGCAGCTTCAAAGTCTGTGTATTGACTTTGGCTCTTTCTGACATCTCTATCTTCTTGGTGAGTTCCACAAATTTGTATATGTTGGATGCTGCTGCTGCAATGGTTCAGTCTTGAATGGCAACCTTCCAGGCTGTTGTGTGTCCATGGTCCTACAGTAGGGCGGTGGTTCCAGATGCGCAGCGTAAAGCGAGCGTAATTATTATTGATACAACATTGTCGTTCATGCTGCATCGGCGTAGTTTCTTCTCTTGTACGTTTTCTCATTGCGCTGATGAAACTATACTCAACAACAAAAGTTCCTGTGACACCATTATTTTAGTAAAGTGTGGTTTCAATATTGTAGTACATGTATGGAATCAAGTCACAAAAACGCAACTGCTACAGAAAAGCATCCATTCTGTGCAAAAGTTTACTTTTATGCAAGCCCCTTGCATTTCACTACCCAAGAATGGGTATAAAAACATGTGCGTTAACGGGATTCGATATGCATTGTTTAGCATCGTGCTGACTCAGCACCACTCAGAAAAATATAAAATTACGCAATTATTCAACATTACGAATAGCCACGCCTGTCCGAAAATGAGCGTCCGCGAGCTATTGGTATACTTGAAGCAGGATCGAGTCAACGTGATGTTGCAAGACAATTTAACGTCCACAGAAACACCCTTTGGTGTTTATGGCAACGTTGGCGACAGACGAATGCAGTCAGAGACCATCCTCGGAGTGGCAGGCCACTCTGACCAATAATCGACAAGACAACTGGATTCGAACAACACACCTACGAAATCGATTCCAGCCAGCAATAGTGACTGCAAGAAGCATCCCCGGTCTTCGACGAATATCTTCACAAACCGTACGTCGTCGCCTCAGATGTGCAAGGATTGACACCAGAAGACCCGTCAGACGTCCAATTTGGACAGGAAACCACCGTCAAGCACGTCTACAGTGGTGCAGACAGCGTCTACGCTAGACGGCCATGCAGTGGGGACAAGTTCTATTCACTGACGAGTCTCGTTTTCACTTCAGCCATAGCGATGGACGGATTCGATAGTGGTAGAGGTAAATCTCAATGGACAGCGCTACCGCGACGAGATCATCGGCCCTGTTGTTCTACCGTTTTTGCGTCGTCATGGCCAAGGCATTACCTTTCAACATCACAACGCCCAGCCTCATATTGCACGACTTGTTCTGGATTCTCTCAACGTGACACTCCAGGAACTTCGAAACATGCTCCAGCAGATATGGACAGATATCCCACAGGACTTTGTGCGACGCCTGGTCCATTCCATAAGACGAAGATGTGTTGCTTGCATCACCAGAGGTAGACACACACGCTATTGATTTGTAAATTGACATTTTGCCATGTTCATGTTGTTTTTTTATGAAATCACGCATTTTCTGAAGTCAGTATAGCAAATTAAACCATTTGAACACTTACAGGAGTCTTTTATTTGTTGCAAACCGAAATTGTCTCAGATTTGGCAAAAAAACATAACTTTGCATTAAATCTTATTCAATGTCACAGGAACTTTTGTTGTTCAGTATAATAACTGTCTTGATCATCAGTAGGAGGGTGGTTGTGGTAAGATGTGTTTCTGACATAGTTCCTGACAGTAGTACACTTGCCTAGGAACGTTCGAACGTCAGACTCGCTGACTTGGTTGATGCATTTCATCATATCCCACTGGCGTACTTCGATGCTCATGATATCAATCCCTGGATTGTCTGGTCCAGACTCGATTATTTACAGACCGCCGTCATATAGCTGGAATATTGCTGAGTGTGGCGTTAAATAACAAACAAGGGCTGCAGGTGGATATCACAGGAGGAAGTCTGTGATATTGTTTTAGTCGTGTGTACACCCCTCCAGAGAGTAACAAATTGTGCAACACAGGAATGGAGTGCAGCGTTAAACAACAAATAACAAACAAACAAACAAAATAAGACAATATACGTTTGAGTTACTTTTAGAAGCCAGACTGCGCTCTTTGTTAATCCAGTAATATGTTTTGATTACAACATATTGTGTTTACGTCTTGTAGGGAACAGTCTAAATGTACCTATATATATCAAATGCAATACCTTTTCATCAAGACTTGCGATATACAGATGTACGTTCCAGTATGTTTACATCTGTTGGTCTGTTACCTAAAACTGAATACTACCACATCGAACATAGCGATTTAATCAGAGAAGGGGGTAAAATACAACACTGATCATGGAATCAGATCGATCTACATCAGACGGTCGATGGCGCCAGAGAACTAGCGAGTGGAAATAACCCAGTTGTATAATGTAAGCCCGCAAACCAACCCTGCAAGGACCAGACAAACCAGTGCGTTAAAACAACTAACAATGTGGTGGTGTTTGAGTTTTATGGTACATTTAGGTGATGTTTTCATTCGATCCACTTTAGCTAGTATAAGAGTAACGCAATGTTTCAGAGCTTTATCATTTGCAGAAGCCGAGGTATGCCATTAACTGCCCGAAGAAGGAAAACAAATTTCCCTTGAGTAATAAAGAACGGTGTTATCTGATTCATCGGAACAGCAAACAATAATATTTCTAGAATTTGAAACCAAATGTAGAACACAGAGACCAGCTTTTACAAGTTTCTACCGCTGATGTGGCCGTGGAACGGGCGCTGTCAGTGCCTGCGTGGATGTTAAACTCGCACTCCCTCCATTGATCTCCCGTACCCCAGCACTGAAGCCGCTCTTTTTAGCGAACGAAATTAGAATGGATTCTGTTTAATCCGACACCACATGAGGCATGTAGGAACTCTTGCTTTAGACAAAATACACTGTAGTCGATAACATAGTAGGTCGTCGTGACCATCATGCATTGTCAGCGTAGATACCGTGCATATTTAAGTCCACAATGGCCTTGGGCTGACGAATCATCAATCATTAATATATGTGCATATATTGTTGGTGTTACACGGTATTGCGTCACTGATGCATGCTCGATCTACCACGAGTGACAATTGATCTATTGGCTGCCAGTTATGACATTTGGAATGTCACCAATTTATGCTTCAAATTATATACAATTATCAACCGGATAAGCATGCTCGCAAAAAAGCAACTCTGAGACTGATGTAACAACAATATCATAGCGAAACTCATGGCAGCACAGTCGATGTGGACGCCACTATTAGCAACAATTCGCTCTGTACGTTCTGCAGTCAGAACGCATCATGAAAAACCTAAATGAAGCTGCATCAGATGAACTTGCTTCATGTTTCCCGACGAGGAATCATTAATCATCATCCTTTCCAAAATGGCGAAGCAGACATTGGCGTCATCGCCCGATCAATGAAAACGTCCCACAAGTGATCCGTCTACACAATGGTGTTCCGTCGCGGCATATATAATGCGATGCATTAGTCATGATCATCGCTACTGTGACATAATAAAACATCGATCAGAACCGAGCCCATGTGAGCAAACATACAACTCTTCAATCATCCCGCAAATTCCCTGGTCGGAGTTTAAATGTAATTTGCAAAGTAAAGTATTGACAACGAACTCAAATCGCAATTGCAAATTACAATGGACATTTTTAGTCCAATTTTATCAGTTCAAATGTAAACATAGAGAAATAGTAGTATTACAAAATGTGGGCTAAATATGAACTTTGGCCTTTGGTGCTGCTATCAGTACAAATGTACAATGCAGCGATTGTTATATAATGGATTAGTATCCTGAACCACAGCGGAGGTCTGGAGGCCAAACTGTAACGTTGTTTATCAGTCCCCCTAATACTTGTCATAATCTGCAAAATGTATTATTACAGAAATATTCCATACGCTATAAGGCAAGCCACATACATAATACATGAATGATACATTTTCGAGGCGCGTTCATGGTGACATTTATTTAACAAGCTGACTCTATCCTTGCCTAAATTGATAGGAAAACGGTGTGGTACTTTGACCAACCCTGGAACACATAACTAGCAACGTCCCCTTCCAGTGATTACTAGTGGAGTGATACTTACCATAAGCACACAGAACCAAGGCTGTCAGTGACAAGTAAAACTCCATGGTTCTTCAAGGAAACGTACACGAGACGATTGCTGCCTCTGTCTAGAAAGAAGACTTTTTAATCAGCTTCTGCGGTGTTAATGCATGCAAGTACCAGCATTCCTGGGAAGCGGAAGCGCTTTACGCTGACCTTCTATCACCGTGAACCTCCAGGAATGAGGTTGCCATGGAAATCGATAATAGCGCGAGGCCTTGATGCGGATAACACACGCTGGAGTCTAACAACGATTGCGGAATCTGCATTTGTATACAAAAATATAGTTGTAATTTATTCTCAAGGTATACTAACAAACTCATAAATATCAGAAGGGTACACCTTAACGTAATCCGAATTATTAAAGTCATTCCGTAAAGCGCCAGGCTTATTTCACACAGATAGATATGTCATCACTACACTCTTATATCAAACCTTACGTGGACATCTGCAGCCCGTGCGGTGGTGGTGGTGGTGTGTCTTGTTTAACGGCGTACTCAGCAATATTCCAGCTTCATGACGGCGGTCTGTAAATAATCGAGTCTGGACCAGACAATCCAGTGGTTGACATCATGAGCATCGATCCACGCAATTGGGATACGATGACATGCATCAACCAAGTCAGCGAGCCTGACCACCCGATCCCGTTAGTCGCCTCTTACGACAAGCATAGTCGCCTTTTAAGGCAAGCATGGGTTGCTGAAGACCTATTCTTACTCGGATCTTCACAGGTCGCAACCCGTGCGGACCATTGTACGATCGGAATAAAGTGTAAGTGGAATATATACTATATGGTATATACGATATATACTCGCCGACAAAAGAAACGGTATATGAAGAATTACTCATATTCTCGAGAAATTTTGATTAATTCGATGCACAAACGAACATACTAGTACTGTTATGTTGCGTGAACCAATGCTCATGAACGCATCACATGTGACGTCATAGATCCATGATTCGAGATGCATAGTTTGTCGCATGCAGGATTTGCATGTAAAGTTCCGAAATCACATGCAGCACGTCACGATAAGAATAAAGACACTGTGGTAACACGTGACTAAAGGTTAGTTTTGTCACTACTTGGTACACATTGGAAACATCTCTTCTTAACGTACATACTTCTCTATATGTTTCTATGGTTTGCGTTTCATTTGACGGTGAGAATATAATACAGGGCCCTTCCTCTTTGACAGAACGTCAAGCTCATCTGTTGATGACAATACTTAGTAAAGTATTTTGCTCATGATCGCTGATTATTTACATACTCCTAAATGTAAATGATTCGCCCTAAACATATGAAACTTCATGTAACCTTCAAACTCATGTAACTCTCATGCTCATAATACCTCAGGGGGCACGGGTGGCCCAGTCGTCTATAGGGCGCCGCGATTCGCTGTGCAGAGTTGCGTCCCTTGGGAACGCCAGAAACCTATGATTGTGGGTTCGAATCCCAATTCGCCCCGATTATGTTTCTAGGTTTGTCAGCAGCATACCCGTGCTCGTGGGTTTCACCGAAGTGGTAAACGTCTGAGACCTGCATCACTTCGGGCTTTCCTCCCACACTAAGCTGACACGCCGCGATATAACTGGAATACTGTTAAAAGCGGCGTTAAACCCAACTTACTCACTCACTCATAATACCTCAAGCCCATGTAACTCTCAACCTCAAGTAACTCACACAGTTACATTTCGTATTAGGTTATTTTTCTATAAGTATCCGTTTCACACTGACATGTACACACACACACACACACACACACACACACACACACACACACACACACACACACACACACACACACACACACACACACACACACACACACACACACACACATACACACACACACACACCACACACACACTTCAAAATACATTTGCTCAAATATACAGGCTTCGTTTTAATATTTTCTATAAGTATCCGTTTCACACTGACGTGTACACACACACACACACACACACACACACACACACACACACACACACACACACACACACACCACACACACACTTCAAAATACGTTTGCTCAAATATACAGGCTTCGTTTTAATATTCGCAATCCGTTTTTAGCATTACCCGGAGTTAAAATCTACGGTATTGGGTTTGTCCTTTTTATCATCAAAACAACGCAATCAAAATAAGCATTTAACGTTATTCGCACACTCAAAATGTTGCCTCAGCCTCTTTCAATAAACTTATAACATTACACGAGCCGGGGCACGGTTGGCCCAGTCGTCTGAGGCGTCGCGATTAGCTGTGCCGAGTGGCGTCCCTTGGGCACGCCAGAAACCTATGATTGTGGGTTTGAATCCCGGTTCGCCCCGATTGTGTTTCTAGGTTTGTAAGCACCATACCCGTGCTCGTGGGTTTCACCGAAGTGGTAAATGTCTGAGAGCTGCATCACTTCGGGCTTTCCTCCCACATTAAACTGACACGCCGCGATATGACAGTAATACTGTTAAAAGCGGCGTTAAACCCAACTCACTCACTCACTCATATCAAACGACCTATTGCACTCAGTGTATGTTTCCTGGCCAGCACATACTTCACTACAGCGGGGGTTTCTCAGAACAGCATGATTTCCTAGAACCGCCGGCTATCGTTAAAGATGCAAATGGGGAATAGAAACGTTGTCGCTGGATATTCAACACCTACCTACCTACCTCACGCAGACACAGGGGACATTTTCAGCGTTCATCAGGTTTATCTCTTAATTATATCCCCTTCCAATTCAGATATGATGCTTCAATATGCAGTACTTAATGTTCACAGTCAAGACAATATTGAGAAGTACTGTAGATTTCTCCATCTTTTATTCAATCATTCCTGTGTTGCTTAATTTGTTTATCTCTGGATATATGATATATATGATGTTTATTCTCGTAAATCACGGCAGTGATACAGAGATGTAATTGGACACAGGAATTAGATACAATGAAGAAAACATGTCAGTGGAACATTTCCATACATGATCTTATATAACTTGCAAGTTTTAATGGAATTGGCTTATAAGTAATGGACATCAAATGAGAGAATTTTATGGCAGAAGGATACATACAGTAGTATTGAGGCAAAAACTTGTTTCTAATTTCTGAGAGTTTTGGACATTCTAATAAAAAGTGCATTTCATCGCATATAAAAAATTTACACAATGTACATTTTCTTTCCTCTCTCACAATATTATACCATCTTCCTGTTTCAATGGGTAATCTATGATTTGCTGTTCTAAAACGAGCAAGAGAGATGCGTAAGGTGATTGGTAGTTCTAGTAAATAAGGTTCTAGAGATGGTAACTCTTTAAACATGTTATAATAGTAACCTTTACATGAATTTTCCTTTGATTCTCGCCATCTTTGCAGAAAAATCACATTTTGTTTCAAGGGGTGTACACACGACTAAAACAATATCACAGACTTCCTGTCATATCCACCTACATCCCTTGTTTGTTGTTTACCGCCGCACCCAGCAATATTCCAGCTATATGATAGCGGTCTGTAAATATCGAGTCTTGACCAGACAATCCAGTGATTGACACCGTGAGCATCGATCTACACAATTGGGATACGATGACATTCATCAACTTCACCAGCGAATCTTACCACCCGATCCTGTTAGTCGCCTCGTACCACAAGCATAGTCGCCTTTTACGGAAAGCATGGGTTGCTGAAGGACTATTCCTACCAGGATCTTCACGGTGTGTTAACATAAGTTGCCCAAATAGGAGGATTGACACTACGATTGGTAATAAATAGCCGCATGTCTTAAGCACTGATGCGCGCACCTGAACAAAACAGCCACACATTCTTACAGCGATGCGGGCACCTGCGAGATATAGAGTGAGTGAGTGAGTAAATGTTGCTTTGAGCCGCATTAACAATATTCCAGCTATTCGCGGCAAGGAAAACAAAACCAGTTTTAGAAAAGAACATAATATAGATGTGATGACGAAGATCACTTAACCTTCAGTCCCTTAGCACAGTAAACAGTAAAAACTGACATTCAAAATTTAAATCTACATCTTTTCTTACAGTTTATTTCCTTCAAATATGCCAAAAATTGGTGGTTAGAAACAGTATTGAAAAGTTCAGAAATATTTTGAAAAGTTGACGAATTAGTGAAAAATCCACTCATTCTGACAAAAGGTGCTTGATAGTCACTGACTATGACAAGAAATACACTGAGGAGGATCATCTCCCTTCGATAACATAGAATGAGTAAAATGACTGTGTCGAATACGACGCCTTCGGATTACAACTTCATCCTGACGACATAATCCATTAAAGGCATGAGACTAAGTCAGGGGTTGTATGGCGTGAAGCTTATTTAATATTTCCTTATACCACCTTTGTTCCCACACATTTCCAACCTATTGGCAAATATCAGGTTTTAGGTCAGTATATGGAAAAGTACCCATCGATAACGATTTCCCAAGAGCAGCTTTAGCTGCAGAATCTGCTTTAGAATTTCCCTTGATGCCAACATGACTGGGAAGCCAACAAAAGATGATGTCATTATTAGCCACGGACAAATTCAAATGACATTTCAAAATTTCAATTAAAAAAGGATGGTCAATTTTACGATTGTTGATTTCGTGAAAGCAGGATAAACTATCAGAAAACAATGATAAAACTGATCTCTTTCGAACGTTCAATAAGTTGCAAGGCTGACAGTATAGCCTTAGCTTCTGCCGTAGAAATAGGACTTCCATCAGTTAACCGTAATGATAGAGTACCATCATGTGTAACAGCTGCAGCTGACACCTTATCACCATGTTTGGATCCATCAGTGTATATGTTGGTATGCCCTGTAAATTGCTGTTTAATTTCTACGGAGGTTTGTTGATGTGATAAGGAGTTAGTATCTGCCTGTTCTAAATTGACGCCCGGCTGTTTTCACTGCCACGGTGGCACTTCAGGCAGTTTAACATCAGCAATTGAAGTACTTTTTAGATCCACATCTTTAATATGTTTTTAAATACGGATACCAAGTGGGGAATTGATTTAGGTTTCTTGGCATATAAAGTCTGATAAGGAGGGTTAAAAACGGTGTTACATGCTGGATTGGAAGGATTGGAAGTTCCGTAACGTATTGCAGTGCCAGTTTTAACATCTGATATCAAGATAAGGTTCATTAGCTTGAACATA